GACCCTTGACTTTATCTTTGACTTCATCAAATCAATGAGATCTTTGCTAGGATCACTTTCAGTTTTAGTGGAGTATAACATATTTGATAAAAATTCTCGAATCGAGATATTTGGAGACAGTGGAAGTGTGTACCTTTCTTCCCTTTCGACTTGTCCTGCAACACAAGAGAAGGACGAGCAGTCAGTTTCTGTCGAACCTCGTCAAAAACAGCACGATTACTCGAAAACCAATTGGTCCACCATTGAGAAAATTCCACAGTCGATAAGTAATTCGATTCAAATACATATGGATAAAGATGCATCGAGGTTCTTGGCAAAAATTTGGCAAGCTCTCGGCCGATGTTCGACTCAGTCAATTTGGATTTGGGGAAGGTATTTAAAGGGAAAAAGGGTAAAGACTGACTCAGGCCAAATTGTCTTGAAAAAAGTTGAGGGTAGTAAGTAGTAAACATGAAATCCTTGGGGTGAAAGCCCGATACTAATATATCCTGGGTTAAGTAGTTACTCCATATATCGACCAATTCTAATTGCAACCCAAGAGTTGAAGCAGGAAACTTTGACTTAAACCAAATAGGCCCCCTAAGTTGGCTACTTGTTCGTCCAAGATTTACAGTAAAAGGGGCCAAGGTTGAATCGAAATCGAATCTAGTTAACAAAAAGTGAAGGTATTTACAATAGGTAGTTTCGTCAGACTTATGGCGAGGATGGCGAGAGGATAATCGGGCCCCTTCTATATTTACACTCGGGGAACAGTAGAAAATCGAGGAAGGACGCTCTCAAAAATTGAAGTTAACCATAATCGTATAAACCAAACGGGCCAGAAAAATTCCCCGATGCCTTAGGAGTACTCAAAATTTCGACGACCTCGTCGAAAGCGGTATATACATGCGCTAACAAAAATTTGGCCAAACATAGGCTAGGATGACCTAAGTGAAGGAGATACGCAAGGTTGAATAGATGGGGGGAAATTTGGATCGATCGGGGGCAAAACACATGGGTGCACAGCCAATACACCAAAAATGCTACATGTTCTTCATCAGTAACAACTATCGAGGGGTCATCAACAAAATGTTTCTCAATAAAATGCCCGTAGGCCTTCGATTCCCAATCAATTTTGGACTTCAATGAATTATCCGAGGGATATGCACCACGAAAGTATCTCTCCCCTATAGGTTTTAACCCGAGTGATGGCTGCGACATCAAAAAGAGTAGGTGAGAGAGGGCCGCAAGGTAATTCCAACGCATGTATTTCCTTATTCCACAAATGCACGGCAGCCAAAAACATAGCCATGTCTAAGTAGGACAAGTCACATTGAGACAAGTGTAAAAAATCGAAAATCCCCACGTTCTTCCAATGGTCCCCGAATTTGGCCTTGACCCTATCAAACCATTTAGTGAACAAAGGTTTTTTGGAGGGAGGGCCTGTCCGATACACCTTAGAAACAAGGTTCAGAAAATCTATCCTAACTTCAGGCTGATGTACAAGAGCAGGGCTGTTTGAGAGGGCGAGGGGAGAAACAGTTCCGCTACCAGAAAGAATGGGGCCCCCAAAAGCAAAACCAACCCCCTCAACATTATAAGGAACTAATACCTGTGTTTCAGCAATCTTTTTGGAAGCTTCCTCCATCAAAGGCAGGGGAGCAAACCGCTGGTTGTTAATCTCCAAGCAAGGTAGCGACGGATGAGGCAAGAGGGGAGTCGAGAAATCGAGATGACTTGGATGAAGTGGCCATTGGAGTAAGCTTAGGAAAACGAAAGGGAAGAGTTAACCGATGAGGTAACAGGGACGAAGGCAGAAGTTCAAAGGAGAAGATAAGATTGCAAAGAGGGTGATAGTTCGCGTAAAGACCAGAGTAAAGACCAAGGAAAGATTAAAGGGAAATTGTCTAGGGAGTTGGAAGCGACGGAAAGGAAAGGTAATTAATGTAACTTGTACTGAAAGGCAACAAACTGACGAGACGGCGACGTAAAGTGGAAAAGAAACCTAAAATCCCTTTTAACCCTAGAACCCCAAAAACCCTAAACCCTAAATCCTGTGGGCTTTCAAACACTAAGGCGGGAATATTGAAAGAATATAAAACAAAAATCATTTATATTCTTCCAAGGGGGCATTTTGTTAGTGGCAAATCGAGAAAAGCGATCGAAATCGAAGGAAAGAAATGTGACTCGATAAGATAAACAAAAATTCATTCGATGTCTAATTAGAAATACATGGCATATAGCATCGAGAAGCACAATCGAGAATCGAACGAATAATAATCAAATGACTGTTGTCGAATAAAAACTAAGTCATGTAAGACCAGGGTTAAAAAGGAATCGTAAGCAATTCGAAGTTCTCGAAAAATACAGAATCGAGAGTAAAGAAAGTCAATGTGGACATCGAGACTTTGGCCAAATCGTGAAAGGAAGTAAGTCGAATGCACGTATAAAGAGCAGTTTTGAAATCATGGAAAAAAGTCGGAGATCGTGAAGAACGTGGGAAACTATAGAAGATAAACGGCCATACGCACGTAGAACGTGGTAGCAGTCGTGTTAACTGCTCTTGGAAGGCTTGAAGGATACCCTATAAATAGAGCAAAGGAGGAAGGAAAAGGGAGAGCAGAAATTGGCAGAGAACAGGATCAGTAGTGAAAAGTCTACCGGAGAAACGACGAACACCATGAAGCTTCTGGCAATCTGGATTTCCTTGCTCACTGAGTACATTTACCGCTTTCTGTATTTTCCTTGGTAATTTATTTTGATGCAACTTAAATTCAGCAATTTTATGTTTCTGTATTCTCAATTCCTTGTCCATTTCAATTCAATGAAAATTTGAGTTTCTGCATTTAGATGTCCATGTTATTTAACATTCTGCAAATCTCAATTTCCTGTCATTTACTTTTCTTGCAATCTCGATTTCTTGTCATTTATATTTGCGTTGTTTTCGATTTCTTGCTATTTACAATTAATGCAAGTTTGGGGTTTTCGCACTTTACATTTCCTCGCAATTTAACATTCTGCAAATCTCAATTTCCTATCATTTACTTTTCTTGCAATCTCGATTTCTTGTCATTTATATTTGCGTTGTTTTCGATTTCTTGCTATTTACAATTAATGCAAGTTTGGGGTTTTCGCACTTTACATTTCCTCGCAATTTAACATTCTGCTTTTTCGATTCGATAGTCTTAATGCTTTCGATACTTTAAATACAAAACACAAAAAACAGTTTTCTTGATATCTTATGATTTTCGATCCTCATACACATTTTCGATTGAAAGTCAGACTGCTAGCCTAAGTAAAAAGAACTTACGTGGGAGGATTTCGATTAAAGACCAAAATACCCTTAGAATCGAAATCGATCGAAATTCCACCAGAAACACATATGTTCACTTTTAAGAGTGGTTCCACGTTAACTGCTATCTAAAGTCTCATTTATTAACCGTATATTTTTATGTAAAATATATATATATATATATATATATTAATGAAAATAAGTTATATTTTGGAATATATATTTTATATTATAGTAATTAATATAAATTATATTTTCTCAATTTTGCATAGATTCTTAAGAATTTCTCTCCATGCAGCAGTGAATCTTGCAGAGTGAGGGTAAGTTGGACATTTCAATTTGTCCAGGGGGCTTTCATCTCTTTTTTTCGTGCATCAGCGAAGAACCTCTTTCTCCCATCTTCCACTTTTCCTCGCTTTCATTTCATCATATTTTTATTCAACCAAACGTGTGGCATCCTCGTGGTTCTACCTTCGTTAACAGTGTATCATTCGAAACAATCACAGCGTCAGTGTCAATGGAAGAACAAAAAATGACACTAACACCATATACATATTGTCTCTAGTTCGACATTGTTCTTGCACTGATTTCGTGTTGGAATGATGTGGTTGTTGGGCTAAAATGAATTTGACACTATGAATGAGAATATTTTTCTATTTATAAAATAAAGTGCAATTCAGAAGTCAAAAGTGGTTAATAGAACCTCGGGACTTCCTAGATTCTTAGCACCCATTTTGAAGAAAGTGTTTATTTAAATGTAAGAAGTATTGCATATGATGGAATGGGAAGAAAAAAGGTGATGATAGGGGAAAAAAGTGGTGTATGCAGAGAGCACGCCTAACCTAAAAGATCACGACGACAATAGTAAATCTCTGTTATTAGATTGATATGATGCTGTCGGAATAGAAGCTCTCTTTTCAGTCTTATATTGCTTCCCATGTTCTCTTGCTTTTCATAACTGTGTATGATTTTGAATATATTTGAACGTGCAATTTACTTTATTTAGTCACACAATATTGTTCCAGTTTACTACATAATTTAGTAGTGACACCCTGTATCAACTTTAATAAATGAAGAAGCAAATATAATTTTTATAAATAATATGGCACTGGTAACATTCAATGCAACTTTAATGTATGAAGAAGCAAAAGAAATTTCTCTTCTTGGAAATGGAGTAAGAAAAGAACCAAATGCCTCATTTGCCTCCCTCAATTTCCACCTCAACGATTGAACCATACTGTTTCACCAACTTCACATTTATTTCAACAGGATTCCCAAGAATTTTCACCAGGATGAATTGAATGCACGATTTGACAAGGTTTGTTCTTTTCCTCCATTTAGGCCAACTAGCTAGAGCTGTTCCAAACCATGTAGTTTCTTTCAAAGTAACACAATAAAAGATGCAACAACAGGGCAATGTACCTCTGAGTTCAGTCTTCTTCTACACACCACTAACGTAGAAAAAAGAAACGAACACATTTGCACAGTTCCCTATGCTTCTGCCATATATTCTAATCCATTCATTCTTCCCCTCAAAACAAAAAAAAGGAAAAGAAGGGTTTAGGGTAGGATAAGCATGTGCATATATGGGAAGCAGAGAGTGAGTGAGTGAGTGATGGAGTTGTCCCTATTTTCCTAATGCAGTTACATATAAATTACACAAACATTGTTGGGCCCAATGGAACCTAAATGCATTGGCTTTCTCACAGTAAACAGATACCCACATGACATGGACCGTTCATCTCATTTATTCAACTCTTGGCACATTGAACATCTCAAGGGTTCATGCAAGGGTGTTCTACACTATTCTAGTTTACATAAAGTTTTCTTTTTTTTACAAATTACAGTAGCAGATTTCCATTTTTTAAATTGCAGATGATATTGATTCTGCAAAACGGCACTAGACAACTCCTAGTAGTGCTGAAAACCTTTTTCTTCCTTCTCGGGACAAGGTCATTTAGGGTTTGACTACAGTTCCCTATAGCAAGACTTGTGTGTAGGTTTTAGAATTACCTGCATAGTTTATCATCCAAAATTTTTTCAATTGGTGTTGACAGAACAAGCTCCAGTTTATAAAGGAATTGAGATTCCAAAAGCTTTTTACCTTCATTTGAAGCTTTACCCAAGCACGTAGATTGTCTGGTCCAGGAGTGAGGATTTGACAGTTTCAATTAAACAAATATTGATTCATGTTCTTCATTGTCTTGGATGTAAATACCCGGAAATTGAAGGAAACAGAAACTGTAGCCAAAATTGTTAATAACCTAATTCTTCTCATTTTTTTAATTTTTATTCAATTCGATAATTTTATTTCTTAAATTCCAGTGGTTTAAAATAAACTTTAACCATTAAAAAATTGTCTCCTGGAGCATGTTAAAAGGTATACATTGTAATACATTAGTTATTATACAAGAAATAGACAAGGTTGAATAGGGTGTATAAATGATTATAATTAGTTAACAATAAATGTTAAAAAAATATAATTAAATAAATTATTATTTAATTTAGTTCGTATTGATATTTTTTTCCCTTGTAAGTTAAATACTGACGCTCTATTCATTTACCGAGAAAACAGAGTGGAGAATGAAAAGAAATACAAAAAATATTATTTTATAAAGTTATTTTTAATTATATAAATAATTATCTATTTTTAAATTTACAATTTTAATATATATATATATATATTATTTTACTTTTTAAATATAATATTATTTTATTAATTTAAATTTAAATATTATTATAATATGTCTTTTATGTGGATAAATATGCAGTGCGAATTGTAAAAACGAATTACATTTATTTATTTTAAAAAATAAAACTATTTAACTTTTATATATATATATATATATATATATATATATATATATATATAACTTTGTTAATATTAAACTAATTTCATAAAAAAAGTATTTAAAATAAAAAACCACTTAAATAAAATTTGTATAAATTTATTTATCTAATTAAACTTAAATAAAATAATAGACTAAAAGACTTAAGTTTATATTATAATTATAAAATGTAAAAAGAAAAATCATAAACCATCCAAATAAACCAATTACTAATGTGTTTAAAATTGAACAGATCACTTAATTAATAAGTATTGAGTTTTGGATTTAAGAGTTTGTCATAATCTAATTTAATAAAATCATATTTTTATAATATAATAAATTTATTAGTAATAATTTTTTTATATAAAAAAAATTAATAAAAATGATTGATTATAATAAGTTACAGTAAAAATTAATATCCGAATCTAGTGAAAACATAAGGTGAAAATTTAAAGGTTGACTCAGTGCAAAACAAATTTAATAAAAATAATGTTTTATAATAAAATAAATTTATTAATTATAATATTTTCTATATAAAAAAATAACAACGATTATTATCATAATTATTATAAATTATAATAAAATTTATAAATATAAAATATATTAAAAAATATAAAATGAATAGATATTAAAATATTATCAAATTTCAATAAAAAATTATCATTTTAAAATTAACGTAATTAATATAAGATAAAAATAAAATAAAATAAAATAAAAATATATTATATATTTTATAAAAAAGTTATATTAAACCAATTTGATCCTAAATTATTATTAAAATTGGTTCTATCCAAAAACACAATCAATTATTTCAATTTCATTGTCCCGTTCTTTGTTATTCCAATTCAATTAAAATTTAATTATTTGAAAATAATGGGCAAATTTCTATTCAGCTCTCGATTTAACTGGTCCTTTCAGTCCCATTTTCAAAACATTAATAAATATAAATATATTAAAAAATAAAAGATGAATAATTATTAAAATAATTATTATTTAAAATTAACGTAAATAATTAATATAAAATAAAAATATAGATTTTCAAAACATTAATAAATATAAATATATTAAAAAATAAAATATGAATAATTATTATTTAAAATTAACGTAAATAATTAATATAAAATAAAAATTATAGATTATATCAAAAAAATATAATGATGAAATTTAAAATTAACGTAAATAATGAAATAATGATGAAGAATAATTGATAAATTCATGAAATTTTTGAATATTTAGGAGGTTAATTGATTGCATAATTTATATAATAAAGCAAATCTTTACAAAATTTGTCATGAAAATACATAGTTTTTCCATTACTCGTATTTAAAGACATTTTTCTTAAGTCTGTTTGAATACCTTGACTTTTAAATGTCATTCAAACAACTTCACCTTCCTCACTTAAAAATTTATGTATATATGTAGTGAACACTTGTAAAATATGAAAATATTTTAAATAAGTTATTATTATTATTATTATTATTATTATTATTATTATAATAATAATAATAATAATAATAATAATAATAATAATAACTTTTTAGTAGTTTAAAAAGATGAACTGATTAAAGAAAGTAAATTTTGAAATTTTTATTTTGAGATAAAATTATTTAAATAAATAATTATTCTATTTTAAATTTTATTTCTGAATAATCATTGTTTTTAAAAATTTCAAATCCTCTAACTTTCTCTAAAAATTCCTCACCAAAATCTTATTATTTTTTAATCCAAACATCATTGTACTCCAGCGATGAAACATTTTCAAATCAATCAACAACATAAATAATAAAATTCTCATTAAAAAAACATCCGAGATTATGTTTAAAATTTGAGTGTGAAATGAAGATTACAAGGTGCTTCATTCTGGTGGAAAAGTTTTTTTTTTCATGAGTTTTATCATATCTACGCTAGTAAATAAAATGAGAATATTATTTAACTTTTATTATTTTTCATCAACATAATCTAAAATATAAAAATATTAATTAAAAATAAAAATAATATCTATAAGTACTTCCATAACCAAACCTTACCAATTAATAGGAAATTATATTTTTTTAGGTAGTTTCACATAATATCAATCAATCTACGCCATATATCAGAAAATTGTCATAGTTGTCTTCAATTTTTGAAATAAAAGCATATGAATAAATTATAGAAAATATTACATTATCTGCGTGTGATAATAAATTATCAAATAATATATACCGTGATGTAAATTCATTTAATAAAAAAATCGAAAATATGCTTTTATTTTATCTTTTTATATATTTTTTCTACATATGTGATTAAAATAAGTATTAAATAGAATAAAGTTTAATAAATATACATTATTGTAAAAGTTTATATATTGTCAATTAGTAAAAATTATCATCAATATAAGTTAAATTTTATCAATTAAGATTTTAGTTTTTTTTATCATCTTCTTTTATCCTGTAAGTAACTTATTTAATTCAATTTTATGAAAAATATATATAATTATTATTACCTACACTTACGCAGTTTCTTTGTATAATATACCAGGTGTTTCTCTTATATTATTAAGTGATATATATTATATTTAACAATGACAATAACTATATAAATACTTTGTTATATTTTTTTTATTCTTTTTAAACCTATTTTATTTAAATCACGATCCAAGGTACCGAATTAAAGATAATTTAATATAATAGATCTTTTAATCAATATCATATATTTATTTATATTTAAACCATATACATATATATAAAATAAAATATTGTTTCTTTGTTTTTCAAAAATATCCGCCATTATTCGTATAACACTTAACACTATCTTGTATTAGTATAATAATAAAAGTACAATATAAAGAAATTATTATTATTTTAAAATAATTATCAAGTGATTATTTTTCTATTAAAAAAGTTTTTGCTAAAGTATATTTTTCTGGCAATTTTTCCAAAGGATTTGTATTGCACGCTACTTGGTTGGAACCATGTATTTTGATTTAATTCTTAAATTAATCTTCTTTTTTTAAGTGGTGCAAATAACTATTGACGAAGATGAAAGAGGAATTACTTAAAAAGTCACACATCTTCTATTTTTAAAATAAAAGTGTACATAAACTTTTAAACGTTATTACATTATCTTGTGTCATAAGATTCAAATCATATAATTTTTTTTTAAAGATTTAATTTCATCAATTATGTTTCTTTACGAGAATTAAAGAGTGTTAATTGAAAACTGAATTGTCTTTTTCTTAATAAGATGGTTTTGTTGTGCTTTTTTTTTTAATATATATCACTATTTCATTACTTGTATGCTTAATTACTTAATTAATTTAAAAGACTGCTAATTTTGGAATTTATGAAGGTATTGTCAAATACTTTTTAAATTAACATCTTTTATCATATATAAAGTTTATAAATTATTATTTTAACAAAATTTATGTACAAAATTAAAATATTTACTTTTTTTTCTCTTTAAATCGATCTTAAATATTACTATAATTACTTGGAATAATTATTGAAAGAAATGCATGTTATAAAATTTTGGTTTAATTAATTATAATCATATAGACCCAATTAAATAAAACTAACAAAAAATATGGTTTGGAGAGTTGTTCAAAAATTCATAAATAATGAAATCCTCTAGATATTATTTTTGCAACTCGTAAAAAAATAATTTAATCATTTCGAATGACCTTACTTCTTTTTTATTTGTATACTTAAATTTTTAATCATTTGTCAATTTCATTCTAACCTATCTAACATTTATTTTAAATAATATTTTAAAATTTAAAATTATAATTAGTTAAAAATTAGTCTATGTAGAAATTTACATTATTCATGATAAATCTAATTTATATATTTATTTATTATGAGTTTGACCTTAATATCATTCATATTTAAATTTCTAATATTGAATCAGATATTATATATATATATATATATATATATATATATATATATCTTTTTATATTAAATTAAAAACTCAAGATATTAATTTCATTCTAAAATTCAAAAGAAAAATAATAAAAGTTTAAGAAAAATAAACAACAAATTCTTAATTTTTTAAATTTGAGTGTCAAATCAAGATAGTAAATCAACAATTTTTGAGGTTGCAGAGTGTTGACGTATGTATGAGTTGACTTGGTGAATTCCTACAGACAGTAGGAAAAAAAAAAGAGTTTTTTAAAATTGTTTTTACAATCATGATCATTTATCTTCAAATCTAGAGATACATATACAAAATAATAATAATAAATTTCAGAAAATCGATTCTAGAAATTTTTTAGAAAAATGTAAATTTAAAAGTTTTTCAAATAAAATTTTGATTAATCTTTATAAAAGTTTTCCAAAAGAGTTCCAAAATTATTTTTTTGAAAAATTTTAATTTTCCATAAGTTTTTCATAAGCATTCTAAAATAACTTTTCTGTAATTTTCATAGAAGGTTAATTCCATAAATTTTGAAGAAATTTTTAGAAAGATCAATTGAAAATGTTTTTGGAACCTATTTATATTAAGGGTAATATTATCATTTATATGAATATGAATATGAGAGTGAAAGAAAGAAGTATGGAAATGCACGAGAAGCACCCCAAATTTCCAAGACCGCGCCACTATTTTCATGACCTGGCGTTAGGCCCAGTAGAGATAGGCTGGAATATCACAAATTTGTTATTCTCACACCTATTTTTGTTAAATTTACAATTTTAAAACAAAAATATCCTTAAAGAAAAGAAACATGGATTATGAAGTTCAATCCTGAATAAAGTAAGATTTTTTTCGATATCATAACAAAGAATTATTTTCGTCAAAAATAATTTTGGTAATTATAATATTTTAAATGGGCTTGTGAAGTGTAAACTTTACAAAAAGGAGTACCATACAATAAGGAAGCCCAATCTGTTAGCAAGTTATGATTAAAGATACAATTATGAAAGTAGAAATCCTTCCAGATTTTCCTACGACCGTATCATAACATAGAACATGAAAAAAGAAAAAACTTTAACGATGAATGTCCCAATCCAAAAGAATAGCTCACTGCTTAAACGACGTCGTTCCGCGACGAAATCCTCATCAAACGTCAGGAGGCCAAAACGACGCGTCGTACAACTCGTCTCCCAGGGAGTGTTACACTCCAATCCCGTCCTTCTCCATCCACCACACTGAAACACCAAATCGCAACGACGTCGTTCCAGCAACCACCGTGTCCAAACCCTAGTTCTCTCTCTTCCTCCCATGTCCTCCGAAGACATCACCCTCGTCCCCGACCAGAGGATCGACAACGGTCTCAGCTCCCCTCTCGTCTTCCAAGACGACCCTCTCCGCTTCAATTGCCCCACCCAGCAGCGCCGGGTCGGGGACCCGGGTCCCAAAACCCGCGAACTTGGTGCCTTCATTGACGACAAGATGTTCATCGACCGCGACCGCTTCTTCGCCGCCCAGAACCCCGACTTCCGCCGCTACGCCGACTGTTCCGCCCGCCGCGACCCCCGCAATTGGACCGTCAACGGCACCGCCGGCACTCCCAGTGAGGACGACGATTCCGACGAGGACGACGAAGATGACGAGGACGAGGATGACGAAGGCGACACCGAAGTAGAAGGACTCGTCGGTGATGGAAGCAAAGGCGAAATTATCAGTAACAACAACGGTACCAGTAGTAATTTGCCTTCTGTTGCAAACGGGAAAGCTCACTCTTTTGGTATGGAGCTATGACTGAAGAATTTTGGCATTGTTAATTAATTAGCTTCAGAGTGTGTCAGTTTTTTGTTCTTTTATTTATAATTTGTTGTTTTTGGATGGTAGTTTCTGGGAGAGAGTTGATGGGGAAGGATGGTGGAGAGATTGGGCAGTTGGTGCATAGCAGTGTGAGTGGTGGTGGTGATGAAGATCATCGGCCAGAGGGATTAGGTAAGTCTCAGAATTCTGTTACCGTTGCTGAAACTGACTGTGAGGAGTACTATTCGCACTATCTTCAAGGTGCTGAAGGGGCTTCTGGTCACAAAGTTATGGTGGATGATGGTGGTTGCGGGTTTAGTGGGAGAAAGGATGCGATGTATTCCACCGAGTCAGGAGAGTCACTCAGGAATATTCTTTCAGATCCCGTTACGTAAGTCTTAAACTCGTTTTAAAGCCTGAGGATTGATAAAATAAACTTGTTGTAGTTGGTGATGGGTTCTTTCTTTTATGGTGTGATTGTTGAACAATGTGAGATTATGTGGAGTTATGCAGGATAAGATTAGCTTTCCTAATTTGCTATTCATTTTTGTTGCTTGTGTTCTCCGACTAACCCTTGGCGCTGAAATGGCTTGTTAAGTTCTCTAAAATAAGCTTGTTCCTACAAACCATACATATACTAGTCTTCTTGTAGACATATTCTTGCTTTCCTTTAGAAGAATGATAGGATGAGCCGGAGGCCAAAGAAAGAAAATTAAGTGGTTAAAAGATTTTATAGAATATATTTAAAATATTAGAATATCATTTGGTTTATATTTTAATCCCCTAATATGAGATGATGGCAGTTGTAGGGTCATCATTTAGTTGTGTATATTTTTAGGCTATATAAATGTACCCTGGTTACTTATCAATGGGAAATATTATTGTTTATGTTCTTTATAGCTTTAATGGATGATTTTTCAGTATTTTCCAACAGATAGTCATTAGATTCTTATCAAAGAAGCTCTTCTCTACCAGTTGGTATTGTCTGATAGAAAACTTATGTAACAAGGAAGAAGAAGCTTCTGTTGGGGTTCTTTAGATTATCTATTAACATCAATTAATCCCTGGTGTAAAAAAAATTGTTCATCTTGTTGAAATACGCCTTGTTTATTTTGTTCTATTTTAACAAAGGTCTAAAATCTAATGGTGCAGATTGTAGAGTAGCAAAATAAAATTTGGTGTTCTTACATGTTTTTCTTTTTCAAGCATACAATAAAATAATAAGTTTGATCTGATGATATATTTCTTATTTCTTGTTTATTCATGCCTACAATTAACTAATACTTTTTATGTTTGATTTATGTCATGCTGTGAAATTAAAGCGGAACACTTATGGATGATGCGATGATATTACCGTGTGGGCATTCATTTAGCGGAATTGGAATACAGCATGTTATTAGAATGGTGGGTTCTAAGCCATCAAATGCCATAATTTTCAGACTGACCTTTTTGTGACTAAGTCATCCGAAAAATTTTATTAACTATGGAGCTGGTAATTTCAACTTCTTTTTCTTGTATATATGCCTCCACACAATATAATGCAGGAGTCTTAAAGCATCTAATGTCTTTTTTGCAAAATAATGAATTTAGTTGCTTCTGCATCTTATACTTATCCACCTTTGGTCTTTTTTTCTATGATCTTGATCATACTTTACTGTTCCCAAAACATTGAAGTTGCTCTGCACTCACAACAGCATAAAATTTGTAAAATTTATGCACTTAGGAAAGAAAAGGATAATAGTTCTGTCATTTACCATGTTGAACTGAGACCGAGTGGAATTTTCTGCTCTTTTGATGACTGAGTGTCAATAGTATTGAAGTTAAAATGTGTGCTTTGCTGGGAAGTTGGTACTGATGGGAATTCATGTGAAATGTTACTCTTTTGTTTTCGCTGGGCTCCTCTGTGATGAAGAGAAAATATTTAAGGATCAGTTTTGATCATAAAATTTGGTTCAGATATTATAATTTCAATGTAATTTTAAATTGAGAAAAAGTATTAAAGATATTTTTATTCAACATTGTGAACATTGGGGGAAAGTCCACATGTCCTTAGTTATGGAGAAAGTGTATGTTGTACTCCTCAACCTTGTATGGTTCGGAAGTTATTTGTAAAGAAACACAAGGGTCAGAGTCACCTGTTAGTCTAGGTGATAAGAACGCAGTGATGCTTTGAGTAACTTAGATGGTCAGTCCAAAATCTGAAATGTGAGTTTTCTTTAGATATTGAAAATGATGGAATGTATTTTGAGAATTATTATTGATGTTGACAAAAGCTTCAATTGCACGAATATAGTTGATTTAAAAAAAATCAACGAATGGACATGGACATTGAATGCAGTTTTTTTCCTCTTTTTTTGCTTCCTTGTTAGAATCAAAGTCTAGTTATGGTTCTTGAGGATTAGTGGATATAAATCAACTAGAAATGAAAATTAATATGGGGATTTCGCTTGTCTGTATATGCTTGGGTTGCTGATCTGACCATACCTGTTTATAATAGAAGTTGAGAGGTACCCATGGCTCCCACTTGTTAAAATTACCTTTGACCTGTTTTTATAAATGACACTTAGCTAGCTATTTCAACTCAGGTTTCTTTTTCGAAAGTACTTTTTTATATAAGAAATTACTTTTCTTGTTCGGGATTTACCATGTCAACTAGCTAATATAGTTGTGATGTGATGCATTCTCAGAAAGCTTGCTGCACTTGTTCTCAACCAACAACTGAGGAATCAATATCTCCTAACTTATGTAAGCAAAAATTCAATTACTTGCACTCAAATTATGCTCCAACTTTTCCTCTTAAATGTGTTATACATATCCATTATACTCCAAATTATAATGTATAATGTTGACAAAGTCTGTCTCCTAGGTTTTTGCACTTAAGAATTAAGTAAAAACTAAGCAACCAATTCCTTTGAATATGTCTGGTTTCGATAATGAAAGTGCAATAACACATCATAAACGATATTTGAAGTACTGTACTTTAAGACCATGTGGTGCGATTCTGATTTTCTTGCTTGCATTTCTTTCTTGGGGTGCTGGCTGCCTTGATTAGCACTTCGAGCTGCTGTGCAGGCATATCGGCGGGAAGAGGAGTCTCAATTTTACCGGTCACCTAAAAGAAGAAGAGAGAGATTTGATCAGGTGTTTATCTCCATTACGTACCAAGTTATACCTTTATATAGTCAGAAACGGAGATGAAAAGAAAATCAATAACCTCTTGGGCTGGTTGGCCGTCTTTCAGTTACAAGTGTTTTTGCCTTGAGATTACCCACTTTTTTTTAATATGAAATATATTTTACATAGGACAGGGTGGCTTTGGAGATTTATCTGTTATGGAACCATCAAGGAGTAGAGGTGTTCAGTTTCCATTTGCTGTAATGGACCGGGTTGTCATAAAGGTAGTGTGTGATTTTATTTGACAAGTGTATTTACCTTTTTTCTGGAAAGAAAGTAATTAGAGAGAGAATGGATCAGGGAAACAAAAGGACACCACAACGCTTTGTTGGACGCGAAGCAATTGTAACAACACAATGCCTTAATGGATGGTCAGTGACTATATATATTTTCTCTTGAAGCAGTTAACATAAAATATTTGTTTCCTATGTTAATTCGGTTTTTCTTAATAGATAACATGTTAACCTATTAATTGTTTCATAAAGCTAACCACATAGAATTTAGAGCAAGTGAGTTCTGTTGTTAATATTCTTAATAGAAAAACTTCTTCGCCTGTAATAATGTGTTTTTTAAACCTGAACATGTTGGGTTACTTCGAAGAAAATACGTAAAACTTGCTTGTGTTGTTAACAAAAAGACTTATGTACAGGTATGTGGTGAAGACATTGGACAATGCTGAGAGTGTAAAGTTGCAGTATCGATCTCTTGCTAAGGTTTTGGATGATCCTTCAAAGCCCGCCTCCAGCAAGATGTCACCTAATTGGCTTTAGAACTGCAGCACATAAAATCAAATACTTCTAGCGTTGACATACCAACAAAGGTTCTTCATTGTAATTCCATTGTTGTATTCCTTGCCAGAAACTGTGCTAGATGAGTTTGTAAATATTGAAACCATACCATGTTTCGTGCTCGTCGAGATTTTAGTATCTGCGTAATCATTTTGTTACAGATACACTGATAGAATATATAAATGATTGTGACCTTAAGCTATAGTATTAATACACCATTTTCGACCATATAATTTCTTGTAATACATGTTTCTTATTGTTGGTTAAGTTTTATCACAAATTGTAAAGTTGATTGTGAGCAAGACTTATTAAATGAGTGAGACTTATAAAATGACTTCGGATGAATTAGTGATTGTGTTAAAGAATATTTTTGTATTTTAGACTGCGTATAGTGTATAAAGTGAATGTTTTATATGATTAAATTTATAATAATATGTATTTTTAAATATATCATAATAACAATATATAAAAATAATTATTTTCAAATATTCAAATTACTAGTACTGTAGCTGTTGTAGTGTACAAAGTAAATGATTATTATATATAATTTATATCAATTTTATTATTCATATAAAAAAAATGTCAAAAATTGATTTAGGATTAAATATGTTAAAAATTAATTAATCGAAAGAGATAACTTTTAAAAACACTTTTATTCTAGATAATTATTCTAATTTATATAGAAAGAATAATTTTATTTTTATAATAAACAATTTATTTTGTATTACAAGGTTATTTTTAATAGTTGATAGTTTATTTTAAAACATTATTCAAATTTAATTTAAAAATAAAGATAAAACAATGTAGATTAAAAGATAAAATCAGTTGATAAATCATATAGTCGAAAAAAAATCTAATTTGAGATAGAAAGATTTTTATTTTTTTTAGAAAATTGTTGAATCAAGTTAATTTTAAAACAATTTATTATTGTTGTTTCAATAAGATATAACCATCTTATCCTACTTTTTTACATACAATCTATCATATCTTGTATTTTTTTTATAGGAACTAGAGTAAAATCAACAAGATAAAACAAGCACAAAAAGTATAAAATAAATTAAATAAGTTCTATTCAAATTTTGTTAATTATATATTATAACAAAAAATATCACATTTATTATCTTATTCAAAAACTTTCCAATAACGAATGTGCCCACATATTACCTTATTCAATAATTAATTTAGTTTAAACATCACCTTTATAATCTCATATATTATTAATTAGTAAATGAATACAATTTCAAATAGTTGATCAAAGGATTAATTTAATATCTACAATTATTATAAATCATTAAATAAAAAACAAATAGTCACTTAGTAACATAAGTGTAACATTTTAATTTCTTTCTATTAAACATGATCGATATTTTTAATTAAGTAAAAATCCATCGACTTAAATCAATTTATATTTTGTTTATAAATTTCATTGTGTATTTAAAAAATATCTGCTATTATTTTCATTGAAAGATACATTAATGTATAAAAGCATATTTCTATTTTAAATCCAAAATGATCCTCTGCAACTTATATTAATGAAAGGTCATCCTTAAAATATTCATAAAAAGACAAAGAAACTTCACTTTTAGTTGTTCAAAAAACAAACAAGAAAGCAATTAGAAAATAATTTATAAGGTTTACAATGACAATATTTTTAGTTTTCTAAATTAAAAATTATAGTTTTTTTAACTTTAAATTTTTAGAAAATATTATTTTTTTCCAACACTATAATGTCGTTAGAGGTGATTAAGAACATTCACATCACAATCCCATGCTTTTTTTCATAAATAATACTATTTTAAAAATATTTTCCAAAATAATACATCCGGAACATTATTTATCCAACTAGCACAGTTTACTATTTATGGTACTCTCGCTCAAGCAAGAAATGCATCGCTTGAGCGAGGAGACCTGAAGCTTAAGGGTTTTGTGGGGTTTAATTTCGTTCAAGCGATAAAATTCTCGCTCAAGCGAGAAACCCTTCGCTTGAGCAAGGAGACCTGAAACTAATGGGTAATCTCGGATGTTTTTTCACTCAAGCGACGAGTAATTTCGCTCGAGTAAGAATTGATGTAAATATGTGGTGACCCAAGTTGCATTATGTGGCTAATTGCGTTGGACCTTTAGCCTGTGGTCAATTCTCGCACAAGCGATGGGTAATTTCGCTCAAGCGAGAAGTGATTGACTAACTGTGTTGGACCTTTCGCCTGTGGTCAATTCTCGCTCAAGTGAGAAATCTATCGCTTAAGCGAGGAGACCTGAAACTAATGGGTAATCTCGGGTGTTTTTTCGCTCAAGCGATATGCAATTTCACTCAAGCGAGAACTGATTGAAATATGTGGTGACCCAAGTTGCATTATATGGCTAACTACGTTGGAACTTTAGCCTGTGGTAGAATTCTCGCTCAAGCGATGAGTAATTTCGCTTGAGCAAGAACTGATTGAAATATGTGGTGACCCAAGTTGCATTATGTGGCTAACTACGTTGGAGCTTTAGCCTGTGGTCAATTGTCGCTCAAGGGAGAAGTCCATCGCTTGAGCGAGGAAACTTGCAACTATTTATAATTGATTATAAGCTAAACTAATCAATTACAATTTTAAAATAATCAAATGCTGAGTCATCCACCCAAATCAGGATTCCAATTTTGAATTCCTTGCATTGGGTTAGACAAAAACAGAAGATTCCAAACACATTTAAAGAGATGTTGACCCACCCACTTTGCTTGGGTTTTGTGTGTGTCAGAAGCCATGTGAGGGAGCCTTGTATTCAAACCATTGGACCTCATAATAAATAGACCACTTTCATTCTTTGAAGTTCTCACATTGCACACTCCTAAATCTCTAAAGTTCTTTGCATTCTTTCTTCTTCTTACCTTTAGTCTTATTTTTGTTTCACACTCCTAAAATGAGTGTAGTGTCTACTATTGTCCACTATGATGGTTCCATGAACCCATATCCCATGGAGGGAGTTACCTTCAATACTGGGACTGCAAAACTTGTTCCTTTAAAGAGAGGAATTTCTCAATAAAGGTTGAAGAACTTGATCCACAAGAAATTAGAGAAAAAATCCCACGAAAATGTAGCAACCATCCATTTTCACTGCCCAACTAGACTCGGAGTTGGGATCAATAACTTTATTGCTATTGAGTTGAAAGATAATGGCGACGTGGAGGCCATGTTTGATGTTCATGATTCAAACTCAAGCCTATGTGGTATTGAAATTTTTGTTACATTTAAAACTTCTTCTTCTTCATACCCCAACACACACTCACCTGAAATCTCACCCTCACCCTACCAAGTTTTCCCAAACACTGACCCAGAAATACCCACACATAATGACTACATCCCTTTTACCCAACTTCTAATTGGGTCTTCCACCAACATCAATGAAGAACTACCCATACAAGAGAACGAAATTGTTGGCCTCCCAATAGAAGTTGTTGATCCTTTTAGTGAAGACGAAGATGAAGATGAAATTCTCAGCCAACACCAAGATGATTTAGAGGACGAACAACCACATACCCCTACACATGCACAAAACTTCATGGAACCATACAACACACCATAACATTTTCTTAACTTTGAAAGTCACATTCAACAACAAGACCCAGAGTATAGTCATGCGTTGGACAGAGAGTCTTTTGTTTCTCCGGTAGGAACTCTATTTCTTGGACAACGTTTCATAATAAAAGAACAAGTTCAAGATGTCATCAATCGCTTTTACATTGTCAATCACTACACATACAAGGTGAAAATTTCAAACCAAAGTAGATATGTTGTTGAATGTGTTGATAACCAATGCAATTGGAGATGTCGAGCAATATTGCACACAATAGAGCAATATTGGGAGATTATGAAGCTTGAAGGGCATCATACATGCGTTTCGCCATTAATCACCCAAGACCATAATAAGTTGGGATATAAAATAATTTCCCAAACAATTGGTCAAATAATTGATGTTGATTCGTCAACATCAATCTCCACAATCATAGCCCACATCCAATTAACAACGGGTTACACTATAACGTACAGGAAGGTCTGGCTGGCCAAATAAAAGGCAGTGAAGACCATTTACGACAATTGAGAGGATTCATATAAGAAGTTTCCCTGTTTGTTACAAGCCATGCAACAAATTGTTCCCGGATTTATCTGCAAACTACAGCCTTCAACAAAATTCAAATATTTTTAAAGGTGTATTTTGGACATTTAGGCCATGCATAGATGGATTTGTTTACTGCAAGCTCATTGTTCAAGTGGACAAAAAATTTTTGTACGAAAAATATAGAGGTACCTTGTTAGTTGTAGTAGCACAAGATGGTTGCAATAACATCCTCCCCATTGTGTTTGCAGTGGTTGAAGGTGAAACAAGTGATGCCTGATTTTTTTTCTTAAAAAACCTCCAAAGATATGTCACACCCCAGCAAGGATTATGTTTCATATCAGACCGGCATGAATCCATTAGAAGTGCATACATGAGAAATGGAAACGGATGGAAAGAAAATAATTCAGTGCATATCTACTGCATTAGATACATTGCATAGAATTTTATGAGATGTTTCAAAAGCACCGCACTAAGGAAAGATGTTGTAAATATGGGTAATTTCTTTGCTTCAAATTTGTTACAATTTATTCATTATTTAACTATTGCTAATAAATATTTATATTAACTATGCTTTTTTAATATCGTTGTAGCATATGAGATGACTGAACCACGATTCTATTATTATTACAAAATCTTAAGACAATGTGACATACAAGCAACTAATTGGTTGGATGAGATACTTAGAGAAAAATGGGTACTTGCATGGGACAATGGAAAACGTTGGGGCCACATGACGACCAGCATAGTTGAGTCTATCAACTCTGTTTTGAAAAAAAAAAACAAGAAATCTACCTATTTGTTCCATGGTCAACACAACATACACCCGCTACAACAAATTTGTCATTGAAAGAGGGAGGCAGATAAATGTCATGATCAATGCTGGTCATATATACTCTGAAATTTTGGTCACAAATTTAGAGGAAGCACAAACACAGACAAACACGCATAGAGTCATAACTTTTGACAGATCTACCATAAAATTTGTAGTAGAAGAAACACAGTCTGCGTGAAGTTCGACCAGCAGGAAAGTTTGCAATTCACCTTGATGGGTTGTGGTGTGAGTGTGAAAAATTTCAGAAATTTCACATGCCTTGTGCATATGTTCTTGCTGCATGCAAGCATGTACATCATGACTTCAACAACTACATTCATCCAGTGTATACCTTACAACAAGTTTTAATGGTATACGAAACACAATTTGGGTTGTTACGAAATGAAGAATATTGGCCAACATACACAAGACCTACTTTGTGTGCAAATCCAAAAATGAAAAGAACTTCAAAGGGCCAACCAAAATCAAGCCGTATAAGAACTGAGATGGATATTACAGAAAATCAAAGTAGGATTAAAAAATATTCATATTGTCATACCCCTGATCATAGTAGAAGAACATGTCTCAATGTTGCATATGCATCTACTTCGCATCATTAGATTGTGTTAGTTAAGAAATGCTTCAATGTATGAAACTTATGAGTTTTTTAATTAATAAAATTTCTTCTTTGCAGAGTGGGGACTACCTACAATGTAGTAACTCATGGGCTCATCTGTTCTTACAATAAGGATAACTATATTGGCAACAAATCATAATAGGAATATTGGTTTGTTGCATGAATTGTTAATATCCTTCACTTTAGTCCTTTTGCTGTTCAATCTTGTTCATGGCTGAATCGAAGATATGCTGACAATGTTGCAATTTGCAGTCCAGGGAGTGTATAACTTAAAATTATCAAGGACAAATTTTTGAATACAAAAATAATTAGATAAGCCTTTGTAGGTTTTATGAAACAATTATTGTAAAAGGCTTAAGTTGACTAGTGAAGATATAAGATTCGATTATTTTAAAATTATAATCGATTAGTTTAACTTATAATCGATTATAAATAGTTGCAGGTTTCCTCGCTCAAGCGATGGATTTCTCGCTTGAGTGAGAGTTGACACAGGTTAAAGCTCCAACGCAGTTAGCTACATAATGCAACTTTGGTCACTACATATTTCAATCAGTTCTTGCTCGAGCGAAATTACACATTGTTTGAGCGAAAAAACACCCGAGATTACCCATTAGTTTCATGTCTCTTTGCTTAAGCGATGAATTTCTCGTTTGAGCGAGAGAGAAATAATCGATCATAATTTTAAATATTCAATTATTTTAAAGTTATGGTCAATTATTTTATATTATAATCGATTATAAATTTCCTCGCTTAAGCGATGAATTTGTTGCTTGAGCGAGAGTTGACCATAGGCGAAAGGACCAACACGATTAGTCAATCACTTCTCGCTCGAGCGAAATTACCCATCGCTTAAGCGAGAATTGACCCGACATTAACTATTAGTTTCAGATCTCCTCGCTCAAGCGATAGATTTATCGCTTGAGCGAGAGAGAAATATTCGATTATAATTTTAAATATTCGCTTATTTTTAAATTATGATCGATTAGTTTAAATTATAATCGATTATAAATTTTCTCGCTCAAGCAATTGATTTCTCGCTTGAGCAAGAATTGACAATAGGCAAAAGGTCCAACGCAGTTAGCCAATCATTTCTTGCTCGAGCAAAATTACTCATTGTTTGAGCGAAAATTGACCACAAGCTAAAGCACCATAATACAACTTGGGTCACCATATATTTAAATCAGTTCTCGCTCGAGCGAAAAAACACCCGAGATTACCCATTAGTTTCAGGTCTCCTCGCTCGAGCGAGAATTTTATCGCTTGAACGAAATTAAACCCCACAAAACTCTTATGTTCCAGGTCTTCTCACTTAAGCGATGCATTTCTCGTTTAAGCGAGAGTACAGATGAACAATAAACCGTACTTAGTTGAGTAAATAATATTTCAAATGTTCTATTTAAAAAAAAAATTAAAATAATATTATTTATGAAAAAAGATGACAATCATACAGTAAAATAATAACATGAAAAAATACTTTTTAAAAATTTTAACAAAATTATTTGTAGTATTTAAAATTTGGAACAAAATTTATTTTGATGCCTCAAATTAAAAAATATTTTTTATTCATCAATTACAAATTTAACATTACAAAAGTTTCTCAATTTTAAAAATAATATTTTAGGCTTTTAATATATGATTTTTTCTTATTTGCCTCTAATAAATAAATAGATCATTTTTATCTGTCTAAAGATGATGATATTGAAAATTTGTTGAAATAAATAACATTTTTAATTTTAGATAACTTATTACTGTAAATAACACATGTTTAATTATGAGTAATTATTAATAAAGTTTTTTATAATTTATAACCTGAGATTAAAATATAATGGTTCTGACTAGAAAGTGTAAATATATTTTCACTAATGAAAAAAGAATTAATACCCAAAGCACTTAAAAAATATCTGCACTTTCTTTTCCATTGGGACATGCATAATTATTCATTAAATAATTACTGGCATGATTAAATGAAACAACATGGTTGATTTAATAAAAAGCATGTATAGGAAGAACTCCTTCATCAATTGTCATAGAGTGAAGAACAAACAATAATAATTGAATAAAACCTAGAAAATGGGGAGGGAAAGCCTAATAATAATGGAAAGAAGAAGAACTAGTATTTGAAAGTTTGATGATCAAATTCCAAAAAGGATGATATTCAATCTATACAGATCCACGGTGAATGTGGGTATAACAATTACATCGACGGTGGCAACAAAAAATTATTCAAAATGTACACTTTCATTCAATTTCATCACTTCCACTGGCTCTGCAAAAGCCAACAATTCTTCAGCTGCGACTGCACCGTTTCTCTCAAGTCATTCACTTTCACTAAGCAAAAATGGGTCGAACAAATCCCCATTCCGTTCCCGGGTCCCGATCCGACCCGACAAGTCTTTAAGAGATAGCAAACCGGTCCGCACCCTACACCCTTCCCCTGAACCACCACCCCCCACGCCCTCGTCGTCCTCTCTCTGCCGCCTTTCTCCGCCTCGTCGCCCTCCAACTCCTCCACGAATATCACCCCCTCCGGCATCGGCGCCTCGCCCTTTTCCCAGCGTTCCTTCACCGCCGGCCAGTCTTCCACCAACACCCTCTTCTCGGTCGTCGTCGCCGCCGCTCCGATTTTGGGGTAAACCTGCACCAGTAGCGGCGCTTCCGTCAAATTCTTCACAATCTCCACCACCGACTCCTTCATCCACCTGTCCAGCCTCTCCTGTCCCTCGACGGCGTCGTTTGTTCCTCCCTTCCGCTTCCCCGGAAGCTCCACGCTCGTTATGCTCGCCCGCTCCGTCGCCATCGCCGCCGAGATCCTCCCCGCCCGCACCGTGGACCGCCCGATCGCGACGGAGCACGGCAGCTTGGTGGCCAAATCGGTACGCCTCTGGATTCCGAAGTTGGCCGCAACGCGGGTGTTTCCGCCGCAAGCAATGCCCTGAGACGACGGCATGAGCGAAGATCACCGGAGAAGGAAGCAAGCGTCGAAGAAAAACGAGAAAAAGCGGAAGCGGTTCTTGGATTCAGGTTACGTTTGTGTGAAGATTGAGGATCCAATTTGAAGAATTGAATAAAAAGAAGATGATTTATTAAGAAGCAAAACGCTTAAGAGAGGATAAAAGATGTTGAGTGACGCGTTCAAAATCAATGGCGGATAAATAGTTGCAATGCTTCAAAGATGACTCCAACTCTGACTCGGATTTGTCTTTTTAACACCACTCTTATTTCCCTTGCTTTGGGAACATTCCTCTGTGTGCGACTCTATTATAACACAATTTTAAGATCATAGATCAAACAAATATTTCCTTATCTTTTTAAACGATATTATATTTACGCTTTTGAAGCGAGGGTGCAGGGAATAGCGTGATCCACGCTGTAGTTAAATGGGTGTTGGTTTGACACGAGCCTGGGTTGCATGGGAACGTGGCTTAATGGGTTCCTCCACGAGGCTCACACGCGACGCGTGTGAAATGTCAACTTTATACTGTTTCAGATTCTGAATACCACACCTTGTGATTAATTTTGAGTGATTTGGATTGGAATGGACGGTGGAGATGGAACGTGGGGAAAAGAGTAATGAAGAGCGAGTGTGGGAGATTGTGCGTGTGAAGTAAAGAAAAAATGAGGAGAATCGCACGAGGTGGCACGCGAAAAGTGCATGGATTGCGAAGGAGGGCACACAGGGGGCATTCGCTTTGCGCAATGCTTGGCCAATATAGTGCAACGTGGATGCCACGTTGGATAATAGTCTCCACGTCAGCGTATCGCGGTTTCTAAAACGAGGAAAACATACGCTAGTTCACGCACGCCATTATCGTCCGCGTGTTTTTTAAATTCCTTGTGAGATGTGTGACAACACAATCATTACGAAACTCGATCTATCTTATGAACCTTTTATTCATTTAGCAGTTAATGCAACCGTTTTTACCAATAATAAAGTATTTAAATCTTTAAAAATCATTAAGATAAGATGATAATTACTTTAGTTTAAATTGATTGTAACTGATTTTTTTTGTTATGTATAGTCTCTTAAATTATTTTAAATTTTAGTATCTTATATTATTTTTAAATATGGAACGATATTTGAAAAGAAAAAAATATTTAAAATATGTTTATGAAATTGATTTTAATTATATTGTCTCATATCGTTAGATAAATATTTTTATATTATCAATAAATTAAAAATCATCTTAAACGTGAAATTATAAACGATTAATATAAAAAAAAACAATAATTTTCTGATTTTATAATTAGATATTTTAGTAGTATGACTAAATCTTTTCAAGGAATATTTGTAAATTTTAACTGAATTGCTCTGATTTTAAAATTTACTAAATAAATAATTGCATGCATATTCTTTTATAATTTTTGCTCTGACTATTTTATAAATTATGTTTAAATAAATATTCTATTAAACATTTTCACATGAAAAATTGAGACAAAAATTATAATTACATGTAAGTTATATATATATATATATATATTAGTTAGCTTTTTCATTATTATTTTTTATTTTCATTTTTCGTTAATTTAAATTCTCTGTTTTAATAAATTATATAGATGAGTAGATTTTAATGTATTTGGTATATAATTTCATGAAAATGGTGAAGTAATCTAACGTTACCGGATTATGTAACGAAGATGTCTATAACATAATATAATTTATTTATTTCAACTCAAATAAGGTAATACAACATCGTGTAAAAGTCATGTACGTTAAGACTATTTTAGGTCAAATAATTCTTTTTTAATGAAGTCATGTTACTTGGTATGACTTCAACTATATAAAAATATAACTATAGTCGTGTTATCTATAATGACTTTATCTTTTATTTTTTTACTAAAGTTTTCATGTAAGATGATTTCAAATGTATGTAATTACATTTAAATTTGTGTTAAACAATTTTATTATAATTGAAATTTTCATGTAAGATGACTTCAAATTTATGTAATTAAAAATAAAATTGTGCTAAACAATTTTTCTAAGGTAAATACATTCTGAACAAAAAATTATTTATTTTATCATATATTATAATTATAAAATTTATTGTATTTATATATAATTATTAATTTATATAAATTTATATAAGTCATATATAATTAATAATTTTATTACAAATTTAAATTATATTTTAAAAGTTTAAATTTCTGTTATATTATTTATTTTAAATAAAAGATAAAATATATATTAAGAGAAATAAAAAAAATATGAATTTAACATTAAGTAAAATAAAATAAAACATCAAAGGGAGTAGTTTTCAATAAACAAAATATATGAAATTATTTTACAGAAAATATTACATATTTATTGTCTATAGATAGATATCCGATTATGTCTTTTATTTTTATCTAGAGATTATTTGCCATTGGTTGATGTATTTTATTTTAAACGTGAGTAGTTGTAAATCTTTGTTATTTTTCTCGTTGCATATCAAGATAAAAAATAAAATTTGGAATCATATAGACAAATTAATAATTTTTATTTCAAATTCGATAAAGTTAAAAGTCATAAATCTTATAAATGTTTTTTAACGTGTACATCTGATAAATGTGTCTAATTATAGATGATATGATGAACAAATAATAATAAAAAAGTAACAAGAAAGTGAAAGAATTTATAATTTTTTTCCAATCACGCTAATACTGATTTAATTTAACCATGTAACTAATTGATTTTCGATTATATTGAAAATTTGATGTGTCTTATATATTAAATTCAAAATCTTTTAAGTTTTATTTTTAAATATGATACATTTAAACATATTGTTCATTTTTTTTCTAAACACTATAGTAATATATTATAAATAGTCGTGTCCTGCTAATAATTTATACTTTATTTGCATGTTTTGTCGTACAAATTAGGATTTAATTATTTCACACATAATTTTAATTAAGACACGTATAAATAAGACTTCTGGATTAAGAATAGAATTTAAACACTTAATAAGATTTTGGCAACATCTCCCAAAATTTTGTAACTTCCATGTAATTTATAATTTTGACCTTTAAATTTAATATTTATTTATATATTTACAATTTTATCTTTTTATCCTCTCAATTTTTAAACTCTCTTATAATTTATGATTTTAACATTTAAACTTAATAATCATTTAATATATTTACTTATATATTTATAATTTTATCATTTTATTTATTTATCTTTTTTTCACCATTTTATATTTGTTTACTATTTATTAATAATATCTTATTCAACTCTCTAAAATCAATGGTTAAAGACCACCATCAATATCACTTACCTGCATCCATCATAGGTTTTGGTCTATTGTTCAATAAAATTTCGTCCAACCAAATTTTTTATTAAAAATAAGGTCTTATAGCAAACAATTTTATTAAAAAGTATTGGTTATTTCATTTTATAATTTATATAAAAAATATAAGTTAATAAATAATATGTTATATATATATATATATATATATATATATATATATATATTATCTAAAGTGGTAACTTATTTTTTTAACTTTAATATCTTTTTATTGAAGTTTAAAACAATATCTTAAATATAATACATTGAAATTAGATATTCTAATTTAGATTTTTATATTATAAGAATCATAATATTCATTTTTTTCTATATGTTATTATACATGAATTTGTCTTGAAGTATAAAAAGTTAGAAGAATGATATTAATGTTTTTTTTTCTCACTTTCAACAATTATAAATATAAGTAAAAATATATATTAATTATTATATCATGTAGTTCCTATTAATAAGGTAACATGACATTTTTCAATTAAGAATATAACGTCAAGTTAAATAATTGATTTATAATATTTAAAATATTTTATAAATGAGTTAAATATACGTGATGAACTACACCCACTCTCTAATTTAACTAAAAATATAATTGTTTAAAAGAAATACTCATTAACTTAAAGTTGTGATATATACCAGAATTTTATTTATAATCTTACATAATTAAAATCATGACTTTAATTGTAATTTTATAAAAGTAAAAGTCATCTTACATTTAAGGATTTCCTTAAAATAAAATATATATATTGCTTAAAATCATATTAGATAACATAGCTATAATAATATCTCTGTACAATTTGTATGTAAGATGATTTGTACGATTTCTTTATAGAAGTCATCTTACGTTACAAAATATCGAATAAAAAAATTAATAACATAAAAATCGTGTTACATAATACCACTTTCTCATATTGTATAGGATAACATGACTTAATTTTATAAAATTTATAAAAAGTCAATTTATACAAAATCGAAATATTTGTCACCTTGATAAAAAAATAAATAAAAAACTTTATTTTAATGAGTTCTTCTCTTGTTTTCTGTTAGTCGTTCCTTTTTAGACACGTGTTATGCATTTTATACACATCTACGCATGCTATTTTTTAATCTATCTTTGATAACAACATAACATATTCTAAGTATGATAGGTCCAACTTTTATGAAACTCAAATGATGCATTCGCATTTGTATTCATCAAGTAACCAATATAAGGAAGAAAAATCAACAATTTTTTCACATTAACATCTTTTAAAATGTTTCTTTCTACATCGTTAATGGGTCAACTCATGTGTAATAACATAATCACATCTATTCTCAAGATTTAATTAATAACTAGTTGTCATATCTCCTAACCTAATTAATATATTTCCTTTTAACTTAATTTGACTTAACTTTCAAATAGTTATTTTGTTTCACTAAAAGTTTCAATTGTTAGGTAAATTATTGTTGTGATTCTGATTTTGATTTTAACTATTAAACATAAATATAATCTTATACTCATAAATATGTTGTAAATTGAATGTGAAAACGTACCTGAATTAGTCATAATGATGATATCCTTTGTAGAACATTATTGATCTTATGGTCTTCCATCTGGAGAATACCTGTATTTTTCCTCTGTATTTTCTCTCTTGATAGGGATAGAAATAAAAGAATGAAACTGAAACTTACGTTCTGTGTGTGCTTCCAGAAGGGGACCATAACCCTTTAAATAACCAGAATTAAGTTAATTACTTAAGTTTTAGTATTTCCAATTTGACCCCTCATCAAATTCGAAATTGCTCTATGATCTCTACACAATTTTATTTTCATAACATATGTCTTTAGCCAAAACTTTAATTTAGTCAGATCACTTTATTATTTGGCTTAATAAATAATGACCCTAACACATTTAAATTATGTATCATATATATACATGACCCAATATTTGCTAACAATCTCCCACTGGTCACAAATATATATGTCATTACAACCTTACAAATGTGTTAGACTTTATGAGCTCAAAATTTCCATTATATTCCTTTAGCATACTCCAAAAGTCCCGTTCATTGATCATATCAGGATATAGAACAAAATCAGTTTTTCATTGCATCATCGCAACTAAAACTAACAATGATTATTAATCCTGACATAACTAAATGACATGGATTCATCATGAAATGTGTAGCATGAAAAATTATGTGAAGGTGATCTGTACACGTCTATTTTCAACTGGTCCAAACTTTAACTTATTGAGATCGATATAATAACCTTAATGTACAAAGTGTAATGAATGAACGATAAAAACCGCATATCTATAGATAATCAAATATGTCCAAAAAATCAATGTATACATATATGAAATTAAACATAGAACATAAAATATATGAAAACAACCAACTCCCACTAAACCCCAAATTCCTCAAACTGTAAAACACCCATGTGAGCAACATGCTCATGAAAGACCTTAGGCGGAAGTCCTTTAGTTAGAAGATCTGCTATCATGGAGGTTGTCCTTAAGTGTTCTATGGGAATCTGTCTACTCTGTAGTCTGTACTTTTTCTTTAACAATACAAATGATTTATTGTCACAATATAACTTAAGTGGTCTTTCAATGTCTTTCACAATTTGCAGCCATGTGACAAAATTTTTCAGCCATATTCCATGATTTGATGTCTCATAGCATGCTACAAATTCTTGACATTGTGCAAAGTTTGAGTCAGAAAACTCAGCGTTCTCCAATTGGTCTGACCTCCTATATGTGAGCATATAATCTTTTGTTATCTTTAAATATCTTATGACCCTTTTTGCTGCTTTCCAATGGTCTATTCCTGGATTGCTTAAATATCTTCCTAGAACCCCAACTATGTATGTTATGTTTGGACGCATATATATTTGGAAATACATCAAACTCCCTATAGCTGATGCATGAGGAATCTTCTGCATTTCCTCAATTTTCAAATCCCCCTTTGGACACTGATTTAGACTAAATTTGTCTCCCTTAGCAACTGGAGTATCCCCGGCTCATGATGCACAGGTTCTTGAGGATCTTGAGTTTGTTCTTGACGAACAACCAAATCATCTTAAGTATGAGGTTCATCATTAATGTCTTGTGGAGGTTCCGAACTTACTTTATCAAAAGTAATTATTTGAATCGGTTCTGGATTTGTTGTCGATTCTTCCTCCAAGATAAAATTCTTAATCTTATTCTTCCCCCCAAACTCAATATCCTCAAAAAACATAACAGTTCCCATCTCAAAAATTGTCTTTAATGTGGGATCATAAAATTTATATCCCCTGGATCTTTCAGCATAACCAATAAAATAACTACTTACTATTCGAGAGTCAAATTTCTTTTCATTTGGCTTATAAGGCCTTGCCTCAGCTGGACAATCCCACACATGGAAATGCTTCAGACTAGGCTTTCGCCCAGTCCAAAGCTCATAAGGTGTTTTGGTAGCGGCTTTAATTGATATTCTGTTTATAATATAAATTGCAATCTTTAATGTCTCTCCCCAGAGTGATTCCAGTAAGGTGGAATGACAAATCATACTGCTTATCATATCTTTAAGAGTGTAACACAAGCTCAAGCGTCATGATTAGATTGTGACCTGAGCGCCTGTGCCATAATGCACCTGAGTGAGTATTGTCAATTTTACGTTTAGTACCACGAGATTCTGTATTAAGAGTTTTATTATAGGTGATCACAGAATATAGATTATCATGAGCCAAAAGTGAACCAGTTCTCTTAAATTGATTAAACGTTGCGGGAAGAGAAATCAACACCAAATGAATGAGCAAGTCTTCTGAGAGTTCAAGTTTTAGTGCCTTGATTTTAAAAACAATATTAGTCATGCTCATAATGTATTCCCTGATATTTCCTTTACCCTAATATTTCATTTGCCCTGATATTTCATGGAGATCAAGTTATGAAGAAGAGTGCTTACCTCCGCCTTATCGCTTTTTGCAAAACGTTGTTCAATTTCAGCAAGAAATTCTTTGGCACTTGTGATGTTTTCAGAAATAGTGCCCCTAAATACCTCCGGGATGTCGCGCTTAATGATCATTAGGCTCATGCGATTTGAACGATCCCACTTCTCATAATCTCTCTTTTGTTCAGAGGTACTTGAATCTGTAGGAGTAGGGGGTTGCTCAATCCTTAACGCAAGATCCATATCCATGCAGTCAAGAATAATATCAATGTTCTCTTTCCAGTCCTTAAAAGTTGTTCCATTGAGGACCAGAACATAATTTAAATTGGCGGATACTGAAGCAATTGTAACTGGATTAGAACAAAAGAAATAAATTAATTATGCTCACATTATAAAATAAATAATTATAAATATATATTTAAATAATGGTTTAACTCATCTCAAGACACCCAATGCACCATCAATATCAAGTCTTTGGACAATAATATTAACTGCTAGGGGTATCTTGTTATAATGATCAAACATTGACAATAAAGCACGTCCAACAACAAACTAGTCTTTGGATTGATTTATCATCGACAAAGTAAATCCTTATAATTATCACATGTTTATCATTACAAGTGTGTATGCAATTCGCCAAATATTAATCTTCCTTTCGAGTGACTAATACTCGTATGAATATACACAAACATTAACATTCAATATTTTTCACTGAACTACCCAATTCAGAGAGGTTACTTTGGTGACTTCTTGACTCAATTTGCTCAAAAAAATATTAAACTACCAAAAATTGAATATTTTAATTATATAACAAAATCAAATATTTAATAATTATTTATTTAAAATTAACAATGCAAATTAATTCTTGTTGAGTCATGGGCCAAATGGCCAATCATAATGCCAACGTAGTCCCTCGCACCTTTTCTTGATTTCTTTCTCACTAAACCCAAAACAAATAAACAAATGCTCTAAAGGAAAAAAGACAAATAAACAAGAATCGATTAGGGCACCAGAAAAAAAAAAAAACCACATGGTACCACTTGTAAGTAAACTGTAATTAATTAATTAAATATATATGAAGGAGTTGTATTTGAACTTTGTCATCACCGCATGAGCAGTTCAACACCAATCCCTATCCCCAAGGCCAATTCCAACACTCGAAACAATGGAGTTCCAAGTAACAATATCTTTAACAGGCATTGCAACAAACACGTGGTAGGCCTCACCAAGCTGGCCACTTTTTAGCAACCTTTTTTTTTTTATGTTCTGTAGTCGTAGATGAACAGAAGGGAAACCGGGTCAAACCTTCTAACTCACTAGATTCTAGCGGGTGAGCGTGCCCAACACTTGAGAACCCAAAAATAATGCGACTAGATTGACTATAAAGGGGTTTGAAGAAGGGGCTCCTTCTCTTTTATAAAATCACGGTGAAGCCATGTCAAGAAATTCTAGTCACTAATGTCAGTTCCCCCTAAACACAATGCTTAATAATTCAATGTTTCAATGTCATTGACACAAAGAGTGCAGAAATTTATCACTGTCGTTCAAAAACAGCGCACGAAAGAGAGGCGTTTTCACGGTCAAATAAGTAGTGTTCGTTAACTAGAGAGAAGCGCATAACTAAGTTGAATCGAGTGTGGCTGCCAACAATGGTGATGAATTCCATGCCGGAGTGTCACCGCCTACGATCCGCTGTGTGCGTGACTACGATGACGTAGCTTGAAGTGTGAGGAGTATGCAGTGGGCCCGTGGGTGGGTGAGAAGGCCATTGGAGGAGGAGGTGGAACCACACATGGTCGAGCTCATGTTATTCATCTCTCTCCAACTCCGCAATTGCTATTGCTAGCGTTGCATCATCTCCATCAATTCTTAATTTTGAGGTAGTGCGACATGGAACTCACCATGTTCAACCACCGCATCTCGTACGACAGAGAGTCCGTCATCTCTTTTAAACGGCTCATAATTTCCACGAATAAGGACGTCGAAAGCTCCTCCATCGTTGGCAATCGAATTGCAAATTGCAATCCAAATTCGAAATTAGGTTTCAAAATTGGGAATTTAACCCCTAAATTTGATTTTAAAATTCACAACAATGGATATTATTCTTAAATTAATAAGACATGAATTAAGTATGGACAACTCTGATACCAATTGTTAGGTAAATCACTGTTGTGATCCTGATTTTGATTTTAACTATCAAATATAAATATAATCTCATACTCATAAACATGTTGTAAACTGAATGCGAAAACGTACCTAAATTAGCCATAATGATGATATCCTTTGTAGAGCACTATTGATCTTATGGTCTTCTACCTGAAGAACACCTGTATTTTCCCTCTGGATTTTTTCTCTTGATGAGGATAGAAAGAAAAGAACGGAACTGAAACTAAAACTTAACGTTTTGTGTGTGCTCCCAAAAGGGGACCATGACCCTTTAAATAACCAAAATTATGTTAATTACTTAAGTTTTAGTATTTCCAATTTAGTCTCTCATCAAATTAGAAATTACACTATAGTCTCTACATAATTTTATTTTCATGACATGCGTTTAGCCAAAACTTTAATTTAGTCAAATAATTTTATTATTTAACTTAATCAATAATAACCCTAATATATTTAAATTATATATCATATATATACATATACATGATCAAATATTTGCTAACATGAATCTGGTTGTACGTTGTCATGTTCTTGATATCTTTTGCTTCAGTATATATCTCCACCATTGATATCACTTTTCTTAGTTACCAAAGATTTAACAAATTTACTTTATTATTTAACTTCATCTTGAATACGAATACAAACATATTGTCCTTTGATTTTGTCACCTTACAATCTCTATATTCAACTACGTCAAATATTATTTCAAGAATTATTTAATATTTATGTAAAGATAAAATAATCTGTTCATCCTTAAAATTATGCAAAGATATTAATTTGATCGTAAAATTTAAATAATTTTTAAATTTCATATCACTTTTCAATTTATTGAAAAATATAAAATTTAAGGATCGAAAACACCGTTCAACCGATTTCGAAGCAAAATATTTTGTTGTTTATTCCATATTTGCTTCAAAGAAGTATTGTCAATTCATAGAATAATTCAGTGCAAGGCCCAATGGTAAGGCCCAAAGAAATGAGGCCTTTAACTTTGGTGCTCAGAAGATGGTGTCTTCTTTTGCATTACTTATTTAACTTTTAATTATTATTCCAAAATCATATTTATTAAATAAACTAGCTTACTTATTGTTTCTTTTAAAAATAAAGTTCTGAATGTGTTTTCAAATTAAATAAGTGTTTTTAATGATATATAAAGTTTCCATTAGCGTTTTTTAAATAAGTTTCTAAACAGGGGTGTATTACTACTTTCTTGCTTTTGCATTCACCAAACCCAAATTGTTTCAGTGGTGTTCTTGTTTGACTCAGACTAGGTCCAGTTAGAAGAGTGCAAAAATATTGCTGGAGAAAATATTGTTTAAAGATGGGTTGGTAGGATGAACGGTGGCGCTCGTGCCACCTACCAAAGGGTGGCCGAATAACTTCTCAACTAGTCAAACTAAGGCTTCCAATTTGACTGCAAAATAACAAGTGTCAATGTTCAATCTTAAACTCAACCGTCTCTGCTAAGCTCATTTCATCATCATTTTTATCTCTTGGAAAAAAAAAAAAAAAACTATTTTTTACACCATTTTAATGTTACAAATTAACTTCTTTGGAAACCCTTACATATATATTTCAAAAAAACAAAATATTACTCATTTGTGTGCGATTTGATTAACTCACAGGTGCATCAACTTGCTCTACCTACCACCTTATTTTTAGCCTTGTCAGGAAGGGAAGGTCTAAATAAATAGCTTATACAGCTTCTCCCTTTAACTCACCCTTGTTGCCACAACCATTTGTTCATCTCCACTCTTCTTCCCATCTCTATCTCCGTCTCCATCAAATTTAACTAGTAAGATCTTTCTCCCTCGATCCAATGATTTGCTAACTGTTCTTTGTTGATTTTAACCAGTTGGGTGCTTATATCTAAGAGAAATATCGTCTGTTTAATTTAATTTCAGTGGCTACTGAAGAGGTGTTGGTTGATGAAATCCCTTATCCTTCCAAGATCACTAAGACCAAGCCCCTATCTCTGTTGGGTCATGGTAAGTTACTTCTTTCCTCTACTTGCAGCTATGTTTCTACTCTGCTCTTCTGAATTATTTTTCTTACTTTGATTTTTACGATGGGATGAAGTTAGATTTTTTAGTGTTCTGTCTGCTAATGTTTTCATCCAAGTCAAAAATTGAAGCAATAATCTTAAGACAACAAGGGATCTAGATCAATACAAGTGTCGGAGTGTTTGTTATGATTTGATTCATTTATGAGTAGCAAGTAGACACAACTTGATTTCCTTGTTTAATCAGGAATCACCGACATGGAGATCCACTTTATCCATGTGAAATTCTATTCAATCGGAGTTTATTTCGAGCCTGAAGTAGTAAGCCACTTGCAGCAGTTCAAAGGAAAACCAGCGAAGGAGCTGGAAGAGAATGATGAGTTCTTTGATGCTCTCATTTCTGGTAAGTGTTTATCCATGGTAGTCCTAAACTTCTGTCAATATCTGTTGAATAAGAGACCATCTAATAATTAATTGGTTTCATAGAAATAATAATGATGTAGTTCAATAGTGCTATCAAAACGATCTCAATGTGATTTTTAAGGTAATTTACACAAAGGGTAATAAATGATCATACATCACAGTTTGAGAATGAATGACAGTGCAATGATATATTTCTAAGTGTTAAGTAAATGCAGTAAATGACCAATGTATGCATGTTTGTACAGCTCCGGTTGAGAAGTTTATTAGACTTGTGGTGATCAAAGAGATCAAGGGTGCACAGTATGGAGTTCAGATTGAGAGTGCTGTGAGGGACAGGTTGGCAGCTGAGGACAAATATGAGGAGGAAGAAGAAGAAGCTTTGGAAAAAGTTATTGAATTTTTCCAGTCTAAGTACTTCAAGAAGCTTTCAGTCATCACATACCATTTCCCAGCAAATTCTGCTACTGCTGAGGTAAAGCATCATCATCAACGTATTGCTGATTAATTTGAGTTGAGTTTTTGGCAAAAATGGCTTGATTTTTATTGTATTTGTTGTCCAGATTGTGGTATCTTTGGAGGGAAAAGAAGACTCCAAGTATGTGTTAGAGAATGCCAATGTGGTGGAGAGCATCAAGAAATGGTACCTTGGAGGCTCAAGAGCAGTGTCTTCCACAACCATTCAATCTCTGGCTAGCACTTTCTCTGTTGAGTTGTCCAAGTGAACATAACTTTGTACTGTAATGTTGGGGTTATGTTTTGTGCTGCTAAGTTGTAGTAATTGGACTTTTATCCACACAATGTTTGAGGATCTCTGCTTTTGAACTCTTCTGAATAATGTTAATCTTGTGACTTACCAAATTCTAAGTGCTCTGTGTATGATTATTCTTCATGTTCTTAGAACTCACACAATAAATCAAGGCCTGCATTACAAGTTTGAGTTTTTACGTTTGAAGATGAACAATTTTTCTAGTAATCACTGAAAAAAAATGCCAATCCAATAAAAAAAATCCAAAATGGTTGGATCGGAGAAGATTGTTTGAATTTATTAAAATAATAAAAATTTCGTGATATTATAACAATATAAAATATTACAAAATATTTTTGTATTAGCAATTTTAATGAGTAGCATTGTTAAAAATGAGCCTAACAAAAAATTATACTAAGAAGTTCTTTCAACAAAAAGTGTTTAGACATTTATGAAGAGTATCGATAAAAAAAAGTTTGGTATATAAGTTTATATATATTAGTAAAATAATATATTTGAAAAATTATTATGAACTGGATTGATTCATAAATCTAAAAGTTTATCTATTCTAAATACATTCAAATGCATCGGACAATAATATTACGGTTGAAGTGAAATTTACAATATTTTAACATAATTTTTATTTTTGAACTGTTAATCATGGACGCAAATGTATATTTGTGAATTTATTCTCCTTACATTCTCCTCCTTCTCCATATGGTTGGAACTCTTTTCTAATTTTCTTACCATATTTGCAGAAAAAATATATAAGAGATCTTATGGTTAAGTGGAAAAGAAATAACAATAATTGTGAAATATAAAGAAAATAATTACACAAGGGATTATAGTAAAAAACAATATTTCATTTAAATTTTATTAAAAAAATACATTATGATCCTTTTAATTTATTTTTTTGGATTCGCTGTTACAAATAATGGCACGGGGTTAAATTGATTGTTGAAAATTTTTGTTTTTAAACCCAAATATTTAATAACAAAATCATCTCTTTCATAGTACGTTGGATGTAAAAAAAAATTATAACAAAAAAAAATCAAAATACAAGAAATTTATACTAGTTTAGTTAATTTCTTAAACTATATTAAGTTTTCAATTTAGACAGAAAAACGAGTCTTTTCATCGCATTTCTAACCTGCAAAAATAGAACTGGCTACAAACTCTAGTGTACCCCGTCGAAAGGTAAACTGATATGTTATTTTTTATATAAAATTTTGTTATATGTATTTAGTTAAAAATACACATTTAATTATATAATTAATTTTTAAATTTTTATTTATTAATTAATATTTTTATTAAATAAATTAAAAAATTATTATATTTGTCTATTAAAATATTTAATTATAATTAATAATTTAAATGATTAATATTTATAATTTAAATTATAATATATTTATGTATTTTAATGATATGACAAAAAAAATATAATATATTTAATTATAATATATTTTTATTTTAATATATAAATATTTTTTTTAAGTGGGCTAGTATGCTAACCCCTCGTCCTTAGTTCACCAGATTGGTGGATTAGATAAGTCAAAAACTATCAATTCATACTATCATTTTTGAGATGGACTGATAGGTCAAACCGCAGATACCTATTCTATTTTGTCATCTTTAATTCTCGACTCAAACAATCAAATGTCCATTATAATATAACCAGAATTCAAGTTACATGTAAAAAAACACTTATATAACAAAAAGAGAGTCTTGATCCTTAAAAACCGTTTTTGACAACATCAATGACCAAACACTTTTATCACACCAGATGTTCACCAAAATAAGAATGATAGCCAAGAACATGAAAAAAAAAAAATCAATTGGGAATTACAACACTTGTTTCATCTAAGTATAAGGATTCAATCTTAAAAAAAAAAATCACACAAAAGTAGAATAAATGCCTCAAAAATATTTGAGAAAACGTTTACCAAATATTTTGCTCAAACACTCTCTTAAATGTTACTTGAATAATTGATAAAATAGTACATGAAAAATAAAATAGAGAAATTGTTTATATAGAAAGTTTCATCAAATTTAATTGATTAATTTTACTTAAATATCTATTTAATTGATTATTTTGTATTTTTAATCAATTAGAACAAATAAATTAAATCACATATAACTTTTAATAAGTTGTTTTAATCAATATAAATACATTTAATCAATTAAAATAAAGCAACTCAAAATCTTTATAAGTTTAGGGTTAAATTTTAATGGATAAAAATATGTTTAATCGATTAAAATAGAGACACAAGGAATATTTATGTTTCAAGATTACATTTTTACTTATAAATCAATATATTAATCAATTAAAACCAAATTATCACAAAAATCTCTAACTAATTCAATAACATTTTAGTTGATAAATAAAGTTTTAATTAATTAATTTTTTAAACTCATTTTTATCAAACTTGATCAAAGAACATTTTAATTTATGAAAAACATGATTTAATCAATTAAAACATCAAATAATATACTAATTTTATTTTAATCGATTAATTCGAATATTTATCAATTAAAAATATGAACCTAAAACATTTTAATAGATAAAAAATATATATTTTAAGATATTAATTTAGTTTTTACTAAAAATAAAGATATTGAGACATTCTTTCAAACTTAGGAAATGATTAATTTGATAATGAATCGATGTTTATATATTATACACACTAGACACATGTATACAAAGACTTCAAAACACAAAAGTGCACTAGTAGTAAGACTTTTTTTTTTCTTATCTTGACTTCACCAAATCCAACATATCTTCATCTATGGTTTCGCTCAGCCACCCCTCATAAAATGTGAGGTTGGTCTGCGAACTTATTTCAAATTAGCACGTCAAATTGATAATTTTAACATGTAAGTTGATTTTAACTCATCCTACCAATTCGATGAATCAAGACTAGAACAAGAGAGGTTGAGTCACTTCTAAAATAATATTTACTTGTTAAATTTAAATAAAAAATTATAATTTAAAATATTATATTTATGTCAAAATATATAAAAATATTGTAATATTATAATTTAAATAAAAATAATAATTAATTAAACTTAAATTATTGATTATAATTATATATTTTAATATACAAATATATAATTTTCTTAATTTATTTAATAAAAAAATTAATTAATGAGTGAATATTTAAAAAATGTTTATATAACTAATGATTAACTTATTAACTCATTAACTTGTTTTTTAGTGGAATGAATTAGAATTTATAACCTGACCAACCCATTCATCCCGATTTAATGGATCATTGACTTGTTATTTCTACTTAAAATATCAAAACTACTTTATTTTATGTGATTTGGGACAAATTATCCTTAAAAAAAATTAATAATAAAAAACTTGATTGAGTTAACATAGTTATAGTATTTATGGGAAATCTTTTATCAATAAATTTTATAACTATGTTATAAATTAAAGTTAGTTTACATAAAATTAAAATACAATACTTACAATCGTTAGAAAATATGATCTCAAAATATACAAATATCATTTTACAATACTTTACTTATAACTATAAAATACATCCGAAATATAAGTCTTTGGATAACATAAAGACTAATAAAAGTCAATAAAAATCAATAAAGCTTATTAATTAATAATAATTCATCACAAAAATAAATTAACATGAAAATATTTTAAAAATGATTTCATTAAAAAAAAAACTGATGAACACATTTAGGAAAATATGTCCCAATTATTAAATGCGGAACCCATCCCTTATTTAAAGTGTAACCTAAATTGTGATCTACCCTACTCAAAGCTTCAAGGGATATTGGGTTAGAGTTGCCCTTGTACCAAAAAAGAGCAATCATGCACTCAACTCTCAACATATGGAAACAAATGTTACCTTCTACTGCAACTGTCTTTCTACTTAATGCATTTTTACCTGTATCAATTTTATTGTATGCTTAGTGGACCAACACGGTTGCTCAAGGTGTAGGCCAGAGGACCCTCTTTTCCAACTTAACCAGAAAGTTTGGTATAAGAAAAATATGAAAAAAAAAAAAAATCATTTTTACGTTTAGGATTTGAATCCAAACACAACATAAGAAGGGAAAAAAGAGAAAAGACTTGCCCCATAATCTTCAGATTGAAAGAAAACAGAAATATATTAAAAATGAACTCATTATCAAACAGGTACACGAAGGGGAAGAGAAAAGATGGTGAGTGGTCTATCTTTGAATAATGGCCAAAAATAATTTCAGTTTCAAGTTGTAGAGTATCTCATTTCTCATTGATTGGTTGCAATCCAAGGGTAGTGCTGGAATGATTTTTATTTTCAAAATGTGGACCTAAGAAGTCCACAGAGGATATTTATTTAGAGGGAATGAAGAAAGAGAGATTATTCATTTTGTGAACAGAAGAACAATCATGATTAGTTGGTTTTATATGCTCTTAGCACTCAAATTACCCTTCAAATCAAACAGGGAAAGAAAAAAAAGGCTAAATAAATGGGCAAAATTACTCTTCCTTATCTAATGACTTACTTGGTCAATAATTCTCTTTTCTTCTTATTTGCTTTTCACTCAAGATTTATCTAGGTAAAACGTTCATACTAACACACATCATGTCTTCTAATAAAATTGGAAGTTTCACCTCATCTCTCTGTCTTCTACATGGGTTCTCTCCATAGTTCGACATTGATAAACAAATTTTTATAAATTAAATATTCGAAAAGTTTTAAGGTGATAGCATGTGAATGGTAGGAGTAGCAAGATGAGATCTAGACCACTTGAATGTAGATGATCTAACAGCATCCCATGATACCAACAAATAAGTTAGGTTGGTAGAGGCAAGTCAAATCAGTTCTTGAGTTACTTTGGGTGGAGAATTCAGAGTATTTAAGTGTAAGTTGAAATCTCTGAGAAAAAATGAAAATGTTGAGTAAATTATTAATGAGAAAAACTTATACTTTTTAGTTAAAAATGATATGATATTTTTCTTGTACGATTAACTCAGTCTCATTCGTTGAGGATCACCCTGAGACAGCTCCTTAAAAGTTCCAACATTTTGAAAGTTAATTTTCTTGTCAAATTGAATTTGTAACTCATCTCACCCACCCTTCACTTCTACCTTTACTTCACTTCTCTCTAAACCAACAAGGTTAAAGATTTATTGGGAAAGTCTCTTCTCTAACCGTGCTCAAGGTGACTCTTCTCAATTTATTGTCAAATTACCAACCTTGTTGAATACCAGAGAACTTGATCGAAGTATTTACCCTGATCTAGTAACATGTTACTTGTCATCAATCTGTAGTGGATACTAAAGAAGATGTACACATGGGAATTGGGATAAATGCCCGAGTCTTTCAGCCTATAAGCGGTGGATTAAAATGACAGAATTTAAATAAAGCTCTTCTTGATTGACAAGAGTACTATAAAAGAATAAAGACAGGTTGATGGCATCACCATGACAACATTTTGGTTGTCATGCTCTTGAATCCTGATTCACGAAAATATTTTGTACTTCAAAGGTGTTGGTGTATGGAGGCTTGACTAGATAGGTAAAGTGAAACAAAAAGGGATGTTTCTCTTGTGATCTACATTAAAATGGAGAGAAGACAGATTTTGAACTTTTTTTAAACATCAAATTTAAAGTAACTATGAAAGGTGTTACAACTATCTATCTATGCAAAAACTTTGAATAATAATTGACAAGAGTCTGGCACATGCCACCCACGTGGAAAGATAGTCATTTAAAAGAAGTTCTCACTTCTTTTATACTTATTTCTTATTAACAAGTTTCTGATTTATATTTGGAATCAGATTTCCAACCCTGACTTTTTTAGGTGCTTATCCAGACTTGGTTAATCTCTGTACTTATTGAGGTTTTTTTGCCTCTGCAAATTAAGGTTATTACGATTGAAATACTTTGGACCGTGTGAATTTCCCTTTATCAGAGAATATGCCGTTCACATGGAAGGGGAAATGAGCATCCTTTTTAGTTTTGACATGCAGAGAAAATAAGTGATCTTTCATGGAATGTATGATTGATGGTGTTCTGACATTGATTGCCAAGCCATGAGCCATTTAGATTCTTCTGCATGTTTAGTTAGTTCTACAATCCGAATGCTGATCATAAACTAAATATATAATAAGTATCTACTTAAATATACAATAACTACTTTAATTTTGAAACTCACTTTTGCTCTAGTCAGATCACAAGGAAAGGCTTTAGGGAAGTAGAAATCAAGAAAATTGAACTAGTAGTTCAACAAGATGTTTCTCTTCACTTCGATTTTTGGAGACAATGACATCATGGATGTAAGTTTGATCTAGTCACTTATTAACAAGATTTTTTTTCTCTTCTATTTTATTTTCCATCCAAATATGTGTGCAAAACACTTGCTTTCCAATCTATTTACAGACAACAAGCAATTAGATTTAGCACTATTTCTCATGTCAGGAAAACATCCACAAACACAGACTGATTTCAAGCATGGACTATTCCCACACTATTATCTACTCCAATATCTTCAATTCTTCTTACAATTACACAAATGCACAGTAAACATGAAAAACAAGAGCCAAATTCAAGGCTAAAACGAACCAGTCTCCATTTATTCATCCGTTCCTTGGTGGAGGAAGTTCGGAATTAACCAACCTCTTCCACAGGCACTGCTAAAGACACATGTTCCTGTCCTCCTAAAACATTCCCTGCATAGTTACTGGTTCCTTCTGCTACAGCTCCAGAAATAGTTGGTTGCTCAAGCAAAGATTGTCTGCAATTAGGACAAGAGGAGTGTGAGAGGAGCCATGTATCTATGCACCTTACATGGAATCCATGGTTACATTTTGGCAACACTCTTACTTTCTCCCCATCCACAAACTCCCCAAGGCAAATTGGACAATCTGTGGCTGCAATACCAACACTACCTGAACCATAAACAACTATAGGGATCTGATGCAATGCACTCTTCTTTAGGCCTTTTGCCACCAAACGTGCCGCAGTCTCCTCTGGGGTCTCAAAAGCAAACCTGCGGCTACATCTCAGAGCACATCGCACAATTGAGTTGAGTCCCAAAGCACATATAAGCGCACAAAGCAACGCAGCCAAGATAATCACCATATTGGTGTCAAAATTTGCATCACCTGTGAAAGTCTCTCTTGTCCTATTCATGTTACTTGGCGCAGGCGTGCTTGAATTTGTGTCAAGCAACAAACGGTGACGAAGAGCCATTATCTGTGTCTACCACTTCAAAAACACCAACAATTCAAGTGTTATTAAACTCAGAATTCTTGTACCCTTTTGATTTGAGCTGAAATATCTATCTCTGCTGCTTGAAAAGCATGGAGAAATGAGCTTGGAAATTTAGAATCAAATAGAGCCACATAGAGGTTTGAAACATCTCGGACCTGTCAAAACCTTGCTGGGATGTAACACTCCTTGCGCTGGACGGTTACTTGAGTGCTGAGCTCAGAAGAATTTTGATGCTTGTCAGAAAAGTGTACTACTGCTGAAGCAAGCAAGAAAAGTTCTGAATTATTTTTTTCTGATCAACAAGAAATAGAGAAGGACCTTGACCCTTTTGAGTTATGGCAATATCTGTCAGGAATCCCACTAGATAAAGGCTCTCAGAGAAGCATCTCTTTGGTTACATGGAAAAGGAAACCACAGATGGGGTGGTGTTGTGATTACTGAATACTGAACACTGAATAGTATCTTAGACTTTGTAGGATGAAAATTGAAACCCAACAGAAGCACTTTGTCATAGAAGCACACAAACTCAATCTCTGACTCTCAAATCACTAATGGCATGTCTATTCAAATTCACAGAGACCAAAGGCATCATCATGCAAACCATGACCATTAAGGGTGTGCAAGATTTTAATTGGTCTTACCGGGCTTGTGAACTGTGATGTTTTCCAACAGGAGTGGTTGGAGTTTTTCTTCTCACTATTTGTGAGCACAAAATAAGAGACTAAAATTTTGTGACACAAAAGGTGTGGATATTATGGGGCGTTGTTTTGTCTTGAAGTGGTATGTTGTTAGTGTTTCGGAGTTGCAGAAGCAACTGGGACATAGATATTATGTTAGGAAGTGAAAGCAAGACAGCTTCTTTATTGTCCCCTTCCATTTATTTATTATTAGTATTATTGAAGCTAGATCTGACATGCACGAGGTTTATTTGAATTTTGAATAATTTTTGTACACAGGTAATGTTACTGAAACTAAATTTGAATAATTTTAGAAAGAGGAATAGGATAGAGAGTAAAAAGAGGTTGCGAATTTTGATAATGGTACCTGAATTGATCCATCCTAATCAAAATTAGCTTATTTAAAGCAGCACTTATTCTCAGCACCAAATCCTTCCCCCACTCAACCATTAACTTAAAAAGTTGAACCAATCTGTTCCCTTCGTTTCATGTGTTTTCTCATCCAACGTTCCTACATTGTTTCATTCACGTTTATAATTACTGCTAATTATGCCACCTTTAATTATGAGTAGTAGTAATGTATCAACCTTGTACCACAAGAATAAAGTAAAGATAATTATAATATATATAACGTGTTCAAATTTATAACTCTTTCTTTAAACTCTTCTTATAAATAAAATTTTAGTAATCTTCACCTAAACCCTAATTATGAACAGTCAATTATTAAATTGAGTTTCGGTGTAAACAGCGATGACAAGGGCATCATTCATTTAAGGAAGTGTTTGATTTTGTTGGAGACACTGAACAAACGTTAGAGGGAAGTGCTACGGATAAGACGATTGCGAAAGAGGGCAACACATAGCTGCAACTTATGATCAAGTTCAGTAGTTTAGTTTGGTATTTGAAGGAGAAAAACAAAAGCTGGCACATGGAAGAGGTGACGTGCTTCAAAATTCTACATCGTGGGCCATTGAAGCCTCCTCCATTGACTTTTTCTCATTCGCAAGTTCCATCACTGCCAGCGATATATTCTCTCTGGCTACCCTCTCACACAATTTAATTGTATTGCTTAACATGATATTTTCTATTAGAATTATGATGGTGTAGTTAGATATGGATTTGATTGCATAGTTAATGTAATGAAGCTAACTTCTGCCATTGAAATGAGATTGCTTTTGCTGACCAGAGGAATGCTTTAGTTCCCTCACTTCTTTGCTGGACTTTCCATGACCATTAGCAGCATCCAAAACTTTTTGTTTTCTCAAAACGTAATTGATTGGAAAAGTTTTTCATAAAAAAATGTTTAAGGAAAATTTTCACTTTAAGAATGTGATTGGTTGGAGTCAGTAATGCTTTTAAGATATTTAATTTTTTAAAATATAAAAATGGTTTTTTCATATGAGAAAAAATATACATGAAACTGAAAAAAAATAAAAAATTACAAATTGTAAACTTTCAAATGTAAGAAAATAACTTTTTTTTTTAAATAATAAATTTCGAGTATTATTTTAAATATCCAGCTTAGTTTGCATGATCAGAATGAAGTTTGATTCTTTCTTCAACTTCTTGAAGGAATCATTGTGTTGCTTAATCATTTCCTCTTTCTCAAATGTCAACTCGTTCATCAACGAAACATTTTTAATCTCAGATTTCATAATTTATTATATCAGTTTCTCAATCTAAATCAAACACAACATGCTCAATCTTTCATAATTTATTACGAGCATACCACATGGCACGTTTGTATGGATTTTCATTCGACAAACCACTATTTATTAATATGCTGAGTTTAATGTTAGTGACTAAAAATATTGTGAGAAAATAAACGAGAGACTAAAACAAGTAATTTCTTTTTATCAGAGATTAAAAATTAAAATGTGAAATAATTATAGACATTTTTTTTTTTCTGACGGAGAAACGATAACAGCGGGACAAGAAAAACTAGGTGAAATAAACAAATGAAAAGAAGAGAATCATGGAGGCATTTTCTGATTCATTGCAGTTAAGAAGAAGAAGCCTAAACGACGACGTTCGGAGTCCCCTTCATTGGCAGAGACAGTTCCGTGAGAGCCCAAAGGGGAGGGAAACGGAGCAGTGACCGGTTTATACCCATCGATCCGAACAAACCAACAACCCGGTCACTCTCGCCCCCTCCCCCCCTAAACGATGTCGTTCGCTCGCCACCGTCGTACCCAATCGGAGATGCATTTCCGGATCACCGACGACTTCGACCTCGAAGTCGATCTCTCTCCGCAGCGTTTCCAAGATCCCACCCCGCTCCACCAATCCGGATCCAAACCCGAATCTCCGCCGCACCAGACCGCCGAAACCAACCGCTCCGGTCACCGGAGAAGCAATTCCGCCGATGACTCTTCCTCCTCGCTGCTCGAAGGCATTGAGGCCAAGAAGGCATTGTCCCCCGATAAGCTTGCCGAACTCTGGACCGTTGATCCCAAACGTGCCAAGAGGTTCCTTTCTCTCCTTCACATTGTGATATCGTTGCGATTGCATTTCGAGATTCAATTGTCACTTTCTTTCGTTGTCACTGAAGGGAATGGTGCATGTGATGCAGGATTCTCGCTAACCGTCAATCCGCGGCGCGCTCTAAAGAGAGGAAAGCTTGTTACGTGTCGGAGCTTGAAAGGAAATTTCAATCCCTTCAAACGGAAGCCACTACTCTCTCTGCTCAATTAAGTCTTTTCCAGGTTCCTCTTGCTCAAACTTTAAATCTGCATTGCTTCATTCGTAAGTAACAACGTTGAATAAACCTTGTTACCTGAATTATGTCTAATTTATGGTGTGCATGTTTGGGGATATAACTCAGTTAAAACACTTATTCAATACAGTTTAATTTATATTTGCTATTGGAAGGATAAAATTGTATAGGAATTGACTGTATGGCACATCATCTTTTTCATTAACATGATGTGACAATAAGATGAATTTTCTTATTGAAAGCTTATTGAAAAAAAAAAAAAAAAAATACACTTAATCGGGCATATAAGTTAAACACTATTCGATATCCCATGAGAGCTTATGCCACATATTTGACCGACCAACGTAACGTGACATAGTTGGCAGGTAGATAACCTTGTCTTTTAAGTGTATCGTCAATGAGTTGATCTTTAATTATGTGTGTATGGAAAACATCTATTGAGAGATGTTACTCCCTTAAATGAATCTCAGTGTTTCCAAAAATTAGTCCTTCATTTCCAGTTGGAAATACCTAGATTCACCTTAAAAATACATTTAAGATACAATATTATTTTGGTTTAGGGTCATGAAGCTTCCTGAAATAAGTTAAAAAGAAATTATGATACTCTAACTATTTTCATGAGCTCAAATAAGCTTCCCATAGGTTCTTCAAAATGCCCACACCCCCTCAGCTGTTTGTAGTAATACATGTACTTTTTGGTTGTCCTTGTGTTTTGCAGCCAGAGTTGATTCTATTCTATGATATTAATGTTGTTATACGTAGAAGAAAGTCTGGCATATTTGCATGCGAAGTGTTATATACACAGGCTCTCGTACATCACATAGTCAACAATTAATGCTTTAAAAATTAGACTCCCTTTCTTTAAAGCCAGGGAGGGAGAAGCAATGCAAATGATTATTGATAACTGTGTCACGAGAAATGCTAGTGACGCTTACTCCATACACTCAGACTGAAATTCATGTGGGATCCAGTATCCCCCATTTAATGACATACATGTCACACTCATATTCGTATCTACACAGTAGCTAGCTAGTCACAACCAGTTTTATCGCCTCATGCAGTAATTCAATTGCCTTCACTCCAAACAAACTGCATGTGATGCAGTTTGCATTTAGACAATTTTGATTTGATTAAATATATTTGTGATTGTTATAGATGTAAATGAACAATTTGAATGAATGAGATTATGTCTAGTTTAAAAACTGCCAATGATCTTGATTCCTTCACACATATGCAAAGCATTTTGTTCGGTTGTAATGTTCACCAAGCACTCTATATGTGTATAATTAAGGAATGCTAGCAATACATTTTTTTATGCCGCTATTTTTTACATGAGTAAAAAGAGTGTTTCTAATATTTCTTATATATATATATATATAAGATGCCGTTTTTATTTTCCAAATTGAAACACAGCTTTAAGATGTATGATCTGAATCATTGTCTCTCTGACATGATGGTCATGTAAACATGATAGGATCCAATTTCTGTATGATTGCTTTAAATTTTGAATTGGTTACTTTGTTAATGTCAGCCAAGAATAGTGACCTACCCTATGTTTGGTAATTTTTCATTGCTTTTGTTTCCTGTAGTGCACTTTGTTTCAAATTCATTAACCTGAGACTAGTTATTTCTTATACATTTTTTTTCAGAGAGATACAACTGGCCTGAGTTCTGAAAACACAGAATTGAAGCTTAGGTTACAAGCCATGGAACAACAAGTAAAGTTGTGTGATGGTACGTTTCAGGCATAGAAAATTATCCTGGTTCTACTTGCTACTGTCTAGTCACTGTACACGTTTATATTTGAAATTTGATGCATATATCTTGGTTATCTTTGATATCCTACTGGTAGTGTTTTCATTATGTTTAACTTTCAGCTAATATATTGTTATTTCCAACTCATTTTCACGACTTCAAACCCCTGCCTCAAAAAAATTATAAAATGCACAGCTCTAAATGAAGCACTGAAGAAAGAAGTTGATAGGCTGAGGATTGCAACTGGAGAGATGGCAATGCCCGCTGATAACTATGGCTTGGGCGTGCATCAACTTACATATTCTCAAGAACCGTTCTTCTCACATCAGTCACAACATGGGCAGAGTGAAGTTCAGGCCATGCAAATGCCGCAGATGCATTCACTCCAATCTAATGTGGTTACTACTCATGAGCCTCTGTTTGATCTAGACATTCCCTATGATATGTCCGAAATGTTGTCGAATGAATCAATCGGGCAGTTTCAGGGGCTGGACCTAGGCCACGGGGTTTCTCATGTTCCGATGCCAGATTATCCCTCAAATTTCTGTTAGTAAAAAATCAACAATGCCTTTTGATGCAAATTTCGCTGGCCAACATCTCACCAGCCTTTTTATTGGAGTGGTCATAGACTGGCTTGAATGAGATCTAAAGGTATTAATTTCTTTTTTCTATTTAATTCTTTATTTGTTTAATTGTGTATTTGGATTAGTTTATCTTCAAAAAATAATCACCTTTTCGTTTCTCAATTTTTGACCCAAAAAAGTAATTGTTTTCCAAAAATAAGTTGAAACAATAAATTTCAGAGTTTTGGCTCCCCCATTCTAATTAGGCTTAATTTTAATTTTTTTGAAGTTAAATGATCCATTCTAGTATCTTTATATATTTATTTATTTTACATTTGTTACTGGGAAAAATTGTATTTGCACCTCCGATGCAACAAACTTCTTAGTCTGTGTGTACACGATTTTGCGCTTAGCAGAGACAAGGTGTTTATGACAGTTTTCATTGTCTACCATGTTGCACATAGAACCCATTTGTCATAAATTTAAATTGGGACACCATACATACGGACATGGTATGCCCTGGATGGACCATGTTGTTTATATTTTTGTGGAAACAGAAGTTAGGCATGTTTTGTTGGTTTACTCTACCGACAACTTTAAAGAAGCCATTTGAATGAGCACCTCAAGTGTCCACATACTTTTCTAGATTGGTGTTGTGTTAGGCGCGAAATAACTGTCAAACGCTGTCCCTTTTTACTTCTCTGATGTCTTCTCCAATCCATTTTTCTTTTTTCCCTTTCTCAGGCATTTTATGTTGCACGTTTGTTGATAAGATTGCAGAAAGAGTTGTGTAGCGTTAAAATCATTCACTTTCAAAATTACACTGATCCATAGAATCGGAAAAAAATATTGATTAGCTTATTAGTTTGATCTTAGTTTAACTATTGGTAATTAAAAATAAATATCTTAAAACTTGCATAACATTAAGCGATAAATTATCCCTAAAATGTATGGTAAATTTTTAACTTATTATAAAATAATCAGTATGCTATAAAAGAAGCCAATAATAAGTGGTTGAATATTTTGTAAATGGACTTTATATGGTAGACTAGACCTTTGTTTCTTGGCTTGGGTCTTCATTGACTGCAAAATATTCTTGACCAGATTCAAAATCAACCTGTTTTCAGGTTTTAGTACATGGAACATCTGATTAGTTCATCAATTTTCTGGCAGAATAATTGATTGACCAGATTCCAGTTATCAAGATATATGACACAGAAAACAAAGTTTAAATTTGCCTTATAAACATCTGACTTGATAGTTAACAGTTTATCATCTGTTTCGACTTTTTTTATAAAAATATTTTAGAAAATAAATAATAAAAAATTATAATTAACATATTTGGAAATTTTGGAAGTTAAAATTAATTTACGTATTAATTAGTTTATGTAATTTATATTTCATATGATATCTCTAAGTTTTATTAAAATTTGTATATAAGTTAATTTTAATTAAATTTTTATTAAATTTTTTATCTTAGAAAAACTATAAAAAACTTGTCCAAACATATATTATATATTTTTGAGTTTTCCAATTTTATAAGGGAAATGATTATTTTATAGAAAAAAACCTCAATATATAAATAAAATCAATTAATTTATTAAAATAAATTGAACTAAATGCACTCATTTATATATTGTCCTAAGTCAGATAAGGATATTTGTCTTGTTTTAGAACACATTGTCAATTTAGTCATTAAAACAACCAATAGTAAGATTGGGTATTTAAATGTGTAAAAGTAAGAATTGATCAATAAATATTATTAGATGTTAGTCTTTAAAATATCAACCTACTAACAAACTGGTCTCACGTAATTTAACAATAATTATCGTAATTTTTTATAAATTTAAGAAAAAAATTAGATTTTTCATTACAATAAGTTTTTATTTTTTATAAAATTAGTGATTTTCGACTTCAGTTTTATAAAATATTTGGTTTTCAGCTCTATAAAATTTCAACTAACTTAACTTCTTATTTCTTATAAATTGTGTGAATTTTGATTTTACCTTTTGTAAATTTTTTTTCATTCGTCTAAATGTTTAAATAATTTATTCTAGTCTCTAATATCCATTTAAAATGGATGAATAATATTTATTTTACATATCTGAAAAGTTTTTTTTAAGGTTAAATATGTCATTATAACACAACATTAGTATGTGTCACTTGGGAATGATCATTTAACTTTGTGTTCAATTATATAAGTAGTTAATTAGTGTCATGTAATATTAAAGATCAAAAGTTATAATTAGAAACTTATTTAAGTGAAACTTATTTTAATAATAGTATTTATAAAATTGTTTGAAAGAAAAAGAAGAAGCATAGTTGATAATTTTTTCTCTAGTCTAATAAACTTCGCTCGAGCTCTTAGAGAAACATCTACGTAGGGTTGTTGTACATTGATCCGTAGAACAACCTAGTCTCTCATGAGTTCCAGATTGAGTGATGTTTTGGATCCAGTTGAGAGAACTCAAATTGCATGATTGAAGACACAATATTGTAAAGCAATGTTGATGCAGCCACATACCATGTAATTCAATAAGTGATATATTTATTTATATATGTGTTAGATAATGAACGTTTGAAAAAGTTATCAAATGTTATTTAAGAGATGGAACTAAGTTTACACGGAAAAATTCATGTCATGATAAATATTGAGATTGACTACAAGTACTTGTACATTTTATATGCAATTGAGACTGCAAAAATAACATATTTCTTGTGTTTTTAACTTTAAGAATAAAATTATATCTCCTAGTTCAATGTACTCTGATATTCAAATTGTTACTGGTAAGTTTTTAATGAATAAAAAAAATAGCTCAAAGGAAGACACCTGCTACCAGTAAAGTTTAAACAAGACTGAAATCAACGTTAAAAACGATAAATTATTTAATGGTTTTATATCTGATTCATTCATTTTTTGTGTGTGATATATATAAGTTAAAATTCTGGAGCTGCTAACACTACTTTTCTCAGACTTATTAACAGAACAAAGTTTGTCTAATCATAAATTTTCTGTCATTTTCACTCAGTTAATGACTGTCCTGAGTTCACTAGCATAGCATCCCATCCAATCAGCAAAGTTAATGCACCTACTCTTTTTACCTAACTTCAGATTCATAACAACCTCCATACCTAACCAAGCTCTTGAACTAAAACTAATATGATCCATAGCAGTTAACCCTACGTCAGATTCTATCATCTAAGAAACCCTATATGGCACATAATTCCAATGGATACCCGGGTACCTAACTTGTAAACGTGTAACCAAATAGTCTCACCTCTTTGGTTATGGATGGCCTACTATGCTTCAGCCTCCAGCACCAAAAATTAAATTCACATGGTAGGGTTTGGAACATGTTTTGAACATAAACAGTTTGAACAACGCAAGAAACTAACCATTTGAAAGACTCTGCATATCTTCCACATATGACCATTGCAGTTATTAGTTAACTACCATTGGAAAGGGACCCTTCAAAACCTTTGTTAGTGGTTCAACTTCAATCCACTCTCTTTGTTTTGCATGTTGCCCAAGTGGAACTAGGGGACAGGCCTTGTGGAGGGCACTTTCATATGACCCTAGACAAACATGTATGGATCTCATTTCTAGTGTCGTTAACAACAGAACAGATGCTTTGAATTTTCTTTACTTGATCTTTCAAGCACTAACAACAATTTCATATGTTGTCACTATTATCATCCTCTTTTGGTTTATAGATAGACTCGGTTTTAAGAAGTGGTGGAATGTTGCATGGTCATAAATGCTCAAGCAAGGAACTTTATGGTTTTCCCTTTTGGTCTTTGCCTTTTGGACACAAGTTTTGCAGTCCTCTATCAGAAACTGACACTAGTTTTGGCATGCCCTCTTGCTGTTAACTTCCACTTTCTTTTGTTTTGTGGAAAAGCCATTGGTCATAACACATTAGCACCCAAAATCGGTGCATTCAAATGACACTGGCTCTTTTTAGCTTTTAATTTTTGGTTAATTGCTTTTACATATCTACGGAACCTACCCTGAAAGGACAATGATGACAGAGGCTAAAAGGTAGAAAATTCTTCACGAATATGGGCAGAAATATCAAAATCAGATCACGGGGGTGATCAATTCATCAAACCATATATTATTTCAATCGGTAGCAAGACAAATTAGCTGGTTTCATGAAAAGATGTTCCTACGGTGATTTAAAAGGGACGTTTAATCGTGTCCTTATAAAAGATTGTCACAATGGAACCAAATGATTTGATATCTCACAGTTGCTCATACACATCGTCCTTTTCTTCTTACAATCCATTAATTTAACTTTTTGACAAATACTCACTTATTAGGTTCGTTATAAAGATTGCATGTGTTTATGTTGGACAATCAAAGCCTCGACTACAATACATAGTAAAGTAAGTTAAAACTGAATCACCATATCTCAGTCTGATTACACTTACCTTAAAGTAAGGTTACTTCATGAACACAAACTAACCATGTTCACACTGACCTTAAAGTACGGTTATACTATGTCATCTTCAATTATAAACAAAAATTATCATGTTCTTGGTGTTTTTTTTTTTCTGATGTTTACAGCAAAAACATGTTCTCAGAGTGCATTTATTTTCATAATTTTTTTCCACACCAAAGTAGCTTCCAGTTGTAAGCAAATTAAAGAAGCAAAATGTATGATATGATAATAATAATAATAATAAATAATGCATATACCATCGATCACTGATATAACAGGCCAATTAGTTTCTTTATTTATATAAGTCATTATCCAAATTCCATGTAATTGCTTTCCAGTTTTCTTTCGTCAATATCCACAGAACAAAACCACCCATTTTTTTTTTTTTCCATGAAAATGACAGTTGAATGAATTGGGCCGTAAAGAACGGGACGGGCATGTGGTGGTAACGTGGTAGGGCCAACATGAGATCTTCCCACTGCTTTTTCCACAACATCGTCAAAAATTAACGTACAGAAAAGTAGCACCGTAAAATGATGTTGGAAGCATCGAAAGCTTAGTCTCGTAATAACGTTAAACAAAAATTAACCACTCTCATTATCTTAGGTTAAACTCAAAGTGCTTTCATTAAATGCCTTGTAATAATTTAGTATGTGTTTTTTTGTTTAAAACGCAACCACGTGTCCATTTGGCATATTCTAAATAGTATACTAGGTTGGTTGTTCCGTTCAACAATTAAATTGTGTCCCTGTAATTGTTATGTTATATCAATTTAATTAACACCAAACATTAAGTTGCTGTTGTTATTCTCGATGTAGGCTTCTAACCTTAAAGATTGAATCTCTTCTAACCAAACTTGCTTTTTGGCTGAGCAAGATTGTATAGTTGATATTCCAACCAATGCTTAAGTTGGTAAAAAATTATTTATTAGTGTGAGAAAATTTTAGAGAAAGTGATTATCTGACTTGGGTATTTGCCTCCTCATATGGAATGTGATGTGATCCTAGTTATTCAAGGAAATTAAAATCTTTATAATAAGAAAAAGTATCCCTTTAATGACATTGGGAAAATGGTTGAGTAAAACTTTTGCCATCTTATTTATCACTTGATATGGGTGAATTCGTTGGTGAAAAATGGTCCACAACAAAAAATGTACAGTTATACGTACTACTTAGACATAAATTTCTCAGATTTTATCAAATTGTTAAAAAAAATTACAACACCCACGACTGTTTTTTTGTTAAGAGTTAAAAAAAAAAAGTAATTTTGCATGTGGGTGAAGATAGGTACTAACTTGATTTTGCATGTATAAAGAGAGGGTAACAAAACTTTGATTCAAATGTGATTAGGGTAATTTATTTTTGACAGCAGAGGCAGGCAGTAACATCAGTGGCTGCTTCTGGTCAAATTATAGTACAGTTTTGCTTAATTAGGGTATGATTTGTGATTGTAGCAGGCCATAAAATATAGGATTCTTTGCGAGTATTTGTCATCTGAAGTGACTAATATATATGACAAGATTGTGAATAAAAAAGTTAGGCAACCGAAAGAAAAAGACAGAGAGTTTGTAGTTCTCTTCTTTTTAGTCTTGGTTATCATTGTAAATTCAAGCGCTATCGATTTTTCAAACCTTCTTAAGTTGAGCATGCCACACGTGTAATCAAAATACTTGAGCTCTTGCTTTTTGGTGGTGTGCTACAGTTTCATGTCGGTTATTTGCTTAGATCCTCTCCAATATTATATATATTCTGCTGCATACAATTTTCTTATGAACTTGTTTGTCCTATTCGTAGGTAAGAAGACAGAACCAAAGCAGAAGTTTGAAGATGAGGGTTTGTAGCAGCAGCAGCATTCACAAAACAAAGAACATTTAAGGATAAAAATTTCACAGAATAAAATTGTGCTTTGATAACCAGCTAGTCACGACTGCTCATTTAGAAATAGATTCTGAATGAAAGGTACTGTTATGTGTAAAAAACTCGTCTCACTCGTAACAGAAATTAGATTCTCATCTTAGAGGTAATGTTATGTGTTAAATATCATCATTAAGACTTCTAACACAGATGTATAATAACTTTTAGTATTTTTATCACTACATGAATCTTCTTTTTGTACAGTGACGAACTACAACTTAACTTAGAATGGTCCATTGAATGCAAAGTACTGATAGATAGAATGAGAAATGAAAAGGGGTTATAGCTGTGGGAGTGTAGAGTACCTTAACTTAACAAAAGTCATTAATTGTACTCGGTTTGGTGCGGCCCTCAAGAGCAGCACACCATGTTGGACGTATCTCAAAGGGTTAGATGACCCAAAATTGGTGGCCCTTTTCTGCTCTAGGCCGTGATTTAAGGGAAAATTTAAGAAGAGAATACCACACTTTCATACGTAACGACCACATGAAATATTAAACATATATAAATACAAGAGAACAGTTGAGAAATGCATGTGCCAAGTGGGTCCGTAGATTAAGTAGTTGGTAGTGTAACCGAAACATTTGCATGTGCGCCTTGATTCTTGCTCGACGTTCCAAAAAATGTGAATCAGTTTTTGTGGCTTTGGCTCTCTCTTTAGACCTCACAAACGCTATGTTGTCTCATTCGAGTATGGGACCCCACTTCTCACTCTTTCGTGCTTCCAACCTATGCTTAACTTTTCCTATATAAACCAAGCCAACCTTAGCTACCCATTAAGCACCAACAAGTAAACTTCTCCTATCTCACATCTTCTCTAAGCCCTTCAATGGCCATTGCAGCAACCTCCACCATCTCCCTTCTCTTCTTTGTTCTTAATCTATGCCTCCAAGCAACTTTTGGTGACTATGGAGGTGGATGGCAAGGTGGTCATGCCACATTCTATGGCGGGGGAGATGCATCAGGCACAATGGGTAAGTTCAAAGTGTTTTTTCAGGTTTTAGTCTCACATTACTAAATTTTGCTTATTCTAGTGTTTACATACCAGTATGAAAACTCAAAAAGAGTTTGAACAACTGTCTTGTCTTTTCATTTTGGCACATAAATTTTGTTGTATTGTGGTGGTGCCCATACATAACCTTGGGTCACGGGCAGTTACATGTACATTACATTCACACTCTCTCCTATCACCATGAGTCAAAGATGTTAGGATATGTGTGGTTGGTTACTCATGAAATGTTTTTATTTTACAGGAGGGGCTTGTGGTTATGGCAACTTGTACAGCCAAGGGTATGGTACTAACACAGCAGCACTCAGCACTGCTCTATTCAACAATGGCTTGAGTTGCGGGTCTTGCTATGAGATGAGATGTGACGCTGACCCCAAATGGTGCCTCCCCGGTAGCATAATCGTCACTGCCACAAACTTCTGCCCCCCTAACTTTGCATTGGCTAATAACAATGGTGGCTGGTGCAACCCTCCTTTGCAACACTTTGATCTTGCCGAGCCTGCTTTCTTACAAATTGCTCAATACAAAGCTGGAATTGTTCCTGTTTCCTTCAGAAGGTAAATGAAACATAACAAACCCCCTTAAGTGTTGTTATTCTTTTGCTCCATTTTTAGCTTTAAACTTTGGCTCAGAGGGACTTAACTCCTTTGAATAACAAAAGTAAAATTAGTAATTTCAGTCTTCTTTATCCAAAAGAATCAACCATTTATATATAAACACATAACATCAACAGCTGATAGTTTTTTTATCAACGACTGGTAATACACACTTACTCTTTAAAGTAAAAATTGCTGAGTGTAAAAGATTTGGATCCACTTGGAGCATACATAACATGCTTTTGTCTTTGACCTAAAACAGAGTCTCCTGTGTGAAGAAAGGAGGGATCAGGTTCACCATCAATGGACACTCATACTTCAACTTGGTTCTGGTCACAAATGTCGGTGGAGCTGGAGATGTTCACTCTGTGTCCATCAAGGGGTCTAGGACTGGTTGGCAAACCATGTCTAGAAACTGGGGCCAGAATTGGCAAAGCAACTCTTACCTGAATGGCCAAAGCCTCTCTTTTCAGGTTACTACAAGTGATGGTAGAACTGTCACCAACAACGACATTGTGCCTGCTAACTGGCAATTTGGTCAAACATTTGAAGGGGCACAGTTCTAGGAACCTAATAAGTTCACATTTTGTGTGTAATATATGATGCCATTGTTCATCGTTGGTTTGTTTTGTTCTAGTTGAAAAGGGTGGGGAAGAGAAAAAAGGTAGATTAGGAGGAGTTCTGGCCAACATGGCCCCTAATGCAGTGGTGGCTATATGGCACCCGCTAGGCCTGATATAATATATAATCTTTTATTTTTCAGAGATATCATATTTGATCAACACCTTTTGATGAAGTAAAAGGTGTGTGATAATCATATCAACTCAATTGCTTTGTATATCTGATCCCCACTATTGTACAAAACCAATATGGGGGCGAATTAATATCAATTTGAGCATGCTTTTGATTGCAAGTCTTTTCCAACTTTTGCATCATCAGTGACCAAATTAAATCTGACTAGTAAGTAAAAAAATCCTCAGAACCACAGAAAACTGCACCGACCTGTGCTAATGCTGTGTCACACATGTGAAAAACTAAACCAGTTTTCTGTTCCATAAATCCATATTTAATATTGAATTAGATTGGTGCCTCTGAGTATACCAAGTAGTATATGATTCTTAAAGTCAAGAATTTCGAGAAGCAGAACCATTTCATTTTTTATTCCAGTTTCTTTTTGCACTGGGAAGAGGGCGTTGGGTTGACTTGGACCATCAATAGCAATAGCAACTATAAGGAGTAGAAATGCAACACTTTTCCCTTCCAAAAAGGTAAAGGCACTGATTAACTTAAACTTCTTAAGGCAATAAAATTGTGTCCTAAAAAGCTTCTCAATTTTAACAATTTTAAGATCTCAGTTGTAGTGAAAGACAATGCTTCCATAAGGGTTCATACTAATGCTTCAAAAGAATCTCAACTCTTTACTATTTTTATTCTATTCTTGCTTGAGTTTAACTGGTTTGTCCAGCTCTTCATCAATTTTGTTGAGCTATTTGACCAGGTTTAAACTACCCAACTCAACCTACTTTTTAACAGTTGAATAAAAAAATATTGATATATTTAACAATGCACAGATTATTTAACCCTAGAATAATAGAGTAAGCTGAGAAATGAAGATAGATTGGCCTAAAGTTCACCATTATTCAAAATGTCATAAATGTTTCAGTATTTCTCTTCTTCTTTTTCTTTTCATGTTATTTTCTGACATGCCATATGCATACACACTTTTCAAGGTCAAAATTTGATACCATGTACAAGTTTAGTGATGCTTTGAAATGAAGCCGAAAAGAATATTATTCATAACTGGAACCAATGATTGAATTTGATTCTAAGATCTCAACTTGCTTTGTAAGATAAACCTAAAAATTGGTTTTTTAGCACTGATTTTGACTCCTTCAGAAGATCCATTGGGTTTGATAATTGGTGAGTCGGTTACCAACATGTTTTTTAAGACCATCATATTATTAAAGTTAAGGATTAGGTAGGCCTGTTGTCTATTTATGTTTATATATTTTAATTTAAATTAACATTTTTTTCGTCTTAGAATTTTTTATGGAAAAAAATATCTAAACAAATCCTTTATTAGTTTCAGGCTGCCGGTTATCGTATATTATTTTTATCAGTCTCATTTAATCTTTAGTTCTTGTTTATTCTTTCTTTTTGTAATCATTCAACTACCATAAAACTATATTTCAACATGGAAATATAACAACTTTTTACTTTTATTTTTGGAATTATTTAGTATTTCTATTTAAAATATAATATCAACTATTCTGACATTATAATATATATATAAATTTCCTTTAGATTGAATTGTATGTCAAGATTTTGTATCCTGACATTAAAAATAAAAATCTTTAGTTTTAATTGTTTTTTTCTAATTACTTAAATTATCTTACATTAAAAATGACTTGAAAATATGTTTTTAAATTTTTAATATGACTTTGAGAGAATTTATTAAATTTTCTTTATTGATGGTGGGTTGAGTAATATAAATTATTTTTTTTTGGGAAAAATAATAAAATTTGTTTCACTTTTAAAGACTTAATTACATATTTTATTATTAATATTTTATATATTGGGGAATTTTGTCACTTTTAATTTCGTAGGTTTTATGATCTGAATAGCAATAGTATACATTTTTACTTTTTATCAATTCGTCATGATATCTATCATAATATATAAACGATTTTTTAGTAACAATTTAGAAAAAAATATTATATATATATATATATATATATATATATATATATATATATATATATATATATATATATTACTTTCTGTGTTCCATAATTTTTTATCTCAAATATTAAATAATCAAAAATATATTTTTTCCTTAGTCTTTAATTATATTTTTATTTATTTATGTTTTAAAATTAATATATATATATATATATATATATATATTAAATTTAATAATTAAAATAAAAAGCATACTAAAAATACGATGAACATGACATGAAGTAGCTCATACGAGTCATACATCAAACCAGAATATATAATTTTTAAATTTTTTGCTAAACTCCTGTGCTTTGCCTATTTTTTTAATAAACTTTTGCATTTTCGCAAAATTTTATACTTTCTATATATATATATATATATATATATATATATATATATATATATATATATATATATATATATATATATATATATATATATATATATATATATATATATATATTGATTAAGTAACAGTATTATGAAGATGCGTTGCAAAAAAAAAATAAAAAAAATAATGTGACGTGATTAATAAATTAATTAAAAATATTTATATTGGAGTTATTAGAAATGAAGATATTATTTATGTTTTATTTTGTTTTATTAATTGTTATTTTTAATATTTTATCTTGACTTTCGGACGAAGGTAAAATATTAATATATATATATATTATTATTTTTAAAAATAAACAAAATATAAATAACTAACCATAATTATGATAATTTTTAAAATTTTATTGAAAAAAATTTGGTGAGATATTCTAAATTTTTTTAAATAATTAAATAAACAATTTTAAAGTCAACCTTTTGAAAAAGAACATAATTAAATTATTTTAATTTAATGTATAATAGTTTAAATATAAAATTGAAAAAAAATCAAACATTACATTTAACAATTGATTATTTTGAAAATAATTATTATAAATGAGTAAAAAGTATAAAAATATTTTTATAAAATTATAAATAAGAGTTTACACGGTTAAACTGAATTAAATTTAATCAAATATATGACTCAATCCAATAAAAAATTACTGGATTGTATTTTTTTCCATTTCTAATCAAATTAGATGGAATAGAATCAATTGGGTCACAAACTTTTAAAGATAATTATTTTATTAGAAAATTTCTAATATTAAAATACTTCTTATATTTTTTTTAACAATTATTTTTAAATAACTATATTATTTAATATTGAATGGTTTAATATTCTGTTAATATAATAATTAAATTATTATTATTATTATCAATATTAATATTCTTTTAATAATCTTGTTCGATAAATTTGATTGATTCTGGTATAGAATATACAAAATCTATTATCTAATTAACTTTGGTGAGATTGATTTAAATCAAGTTTAATTCAATTATAAATAAAATTTAATGTAATTTACTGGGAGTGATTATATTTCATGGAGTAATTAGATTAGGAAATCCAACGAATACGACTCTATTCCTATAAATATATAGTTTCGTCTAATTATATATATTCAATTAAATTCTCTTTTAAGTAATTTTTTTAAGATAGTTTCGTCTAATTATATATATTCAATTAAATTCTCTCAAGTAATATTTTTAAAATTGTTATAATTAATAATTATAAGAAAAAAGGGCATGGCACACAAGCTGGATAACACAAAAAATACCCATACAATAATGCAAATTCACAAGTTATTATTTTAATAAATTTTGTATATAAATTTAAATTTCTTATTTACTCGTACTTCTTCAAACTTAGTCCAAAAAAATAACTATAAATATTAATAAATTGGTATTCAATTAATAGAAAGGTAAAATGTGTATAATTTTAAAAATTACATGGTAAAAATTAACGAAATTGAAAGCTCGATAGTAAAATTTGCGAAATTGAGATTTCAAATGATAAAATTCAGTAAATTGAAACTTTAATATAAAATTCACAAAATTGAAAAATTTAGTGTTAAAATGTATAATTTAAAACTTAATGCATACTTTACCGTAAATAAGTCACATCATCACACTCTTAATAATTTGACAACTATGAAAGGGATAAAATATGGATAATTTTCAAAATGATAAAAATTAGGAAAATAAAAGTTCCATGACAAAATATACACATTATATATATCACTAAACCACTTTCTAAACTATCTTCATTGGATACTAGGTTGTTATGTTTTTTATAGTTGTATTACTTTGATGAGAATAGTGCTGACTCCCTAACCTAGGAACCAAATAAGGAACCTTGTTACAAACTTAAAAAATATTTCAAAATCCTTCAATAATTTAGACACTAACAAAATAATAGAATTCATTAATAATTTAAAATTAGAATCAGAGAAATGTGTGGTTCTTTGTTGCAACTCCCCCAACTGTGTATTTCATACCCAAAAATTTCTTGAAATTGTGTGAAATTATTAAATTATTTTAAAAAAACTCTTAACAACCAAACTCTTGCACTTTTCTATATTCATGGCTGTGAAAGCCCTACCTCCGCATGCTTCTGTGCACATTGTTAAGAGTGAGTGTCATTGTAGATCACCAAAGAGTGAATTGTTACACTTCATAGTAAAAGCGTTTTAGTTGAAACTACTTCAGTCCTCTGCGTAGGTTACAGAATAACGTCGTGGTCATTTGGATTCAAAGGCAGGAGATTCATGCAAGGATTCCTGAAATAGCCTTAGATTATTGCTGCGGAGTACTAGTGCCATAAGACCCTTCTAATAACACTCATATAACTGCGTTTCCCTGAGCCTACAGCATAAATTAAGACGTCAACAGGATGACTAAAGTTAAACCTTATACAAATTGGAACCACTTGTACTTCCATTGTGTCTCATTGTAACCTCTGTCTTCGCAACCTCTCTAATTCCTTGACCATCTGCCAATGTTCTAGTGACAGGCTGGTCTCACCATAGCTCAATGACATGAGACGCCCCATTGTTAACAATCTGTCGGAAAAGGGAGAAAAAGGTGTTAAAGGCAGGCAGGGAACAATTATTTGATATAGTTGTGGCATGGAAGTAGAAATATGCTATCAATACATGTAAAATAGTCGCTCGCTAACCTGCTTAACTCTTGGGGACCCAAGCTCCTGTCTGCTTGCCTTGCTGCAACTAAATCCATTTCTACCACCTGAACACACAAATGCCCAAAAACTCCGTTATGCATTCCACAACTAATATGAAGGACGAAGAGAAATCAGTAGAGAGAAACTCTTAATAAAAACGCACACATTAAGACTTCCTCCCCCAGGGCGTATTATTGTAAACATCAGTAGTGAGTTATGTGTATCTACAGTCGAGATATTTATGGTTTGATGTGGAAAATGAAAGAATCAGCCTAAAATGACTTCAGTCGAGCTTAGAAATTCTTTAGCTACTTAGTTAATATGCTATGTATAGGATAACGGCTATATAAATTATTCAACTAGTTTGACCCACAAGAACACTTGTTCGTGAATACTGGTGCCAAAACGTCACAAATACCTTCTGCATTTCTGGTTCAATAGAGTGTGGTAGCTGTCTAACAGTGGCCAAATACCATCTCCAAGCTTCCAAAACTTCTGTAGTCACAGCTTCAGAGTAATTGTTTGCCGAAGGCTGGAAAGGTACAATCACATCAGCTGGCAAGATATTTGATTTCCCCTCCGACAAAACTAGCAGTTGGGTATCAGTTTTCATATCCATTTTAAAGTACTTGAAATCATATTCCACCTGAAACACATAACAATCATGTCATTTTAACTGTAACTTAAAAAATTAACTGCAAACAATCAACTGTAAACAGATGAAGTGTGTCTATGAATTATCAGATTCATGTTCATATGGAGGCTTCTAGAGTTACACAAGGCACGGATAAATTAATCCCTCAAATGCATATCTGTAGCATCATAATAGGCACATGAGCATGCAAGAACATAATCAAGTTAGACAAGCAAACAAATTACCTGTTGCAACTCCATTAAATTTTTCAGCAGCCTGCAATTCTCTACCCCTACAGAGTTGAGAGTTCCAGCTTCTAGTTTGGTCTCATCAACAATCAAGTGTGAACCTTCAGCTAGTTGCAAGACACCAGTTTCCAGTCTGGAGTATTAACACAAAAAGATGTAAATATATTTGTATACATGCAAGAGGTCCATGCTCAGAAGGAGATTATAAAATGTATTACCTGTTAGTATAATAATTCTTTTTTGGCGCAAGTGAAACAGCGTTCAAGTATTCGACTGTAAGGGGTATGTAAAATGTGAATGGCAGAAGGTTCTTCAGAACAAGGGTAAGTTGTTTTCCAAAAACAGAGACGGTTTCTTTTTTAAAGCAAGTAAGATTTAGTGAAAGTTTTCCCACGGCAAGAGCATTATCTCTCGCATGCACCTGTTCAACAACAATCCATTATATAAATACTCTAAAGAATGCAGGATCCGAAATCACGGAATGAACAACATGAGTACAAATGGGGAAATGAGCAATACGGAGAATAACCAGAATATTGACAGTGCACGAACTGAACAAAATTATCTTTTAAGAACTACAAACCTTGGATAGAAGATGTAGCAACACGAAATGAGAAGTAACGTCATCATTGCCAAGAATAGCCGTGAGATGTCTTAGCAATGCTTCTCTGAGTCCTTTGACCGAGTCTGGCTTTGGCTGTGATATCAAACACATGCTTTGTTTTAGCGAGGCGTCGTCAAGTTGAGAGAACGATCCAATTCAATATGACAAACATAACTACAAATATTGTCAGAAGAATAAACTTCATTTAGGTTCATAAGAAAGTTACCTCTATAGTAGGGTTATTCTTAAGGAAATCTTGAATCACTAGTTTCCTGTGAATAAAACAATGAAGGCGTGGCACCTGCAGAAAAGAGGGAATAATGCAAATTTAAAAACCAGATACCACTGATTGGTTACAGACATGAAACACATGCATATTTATGCTTCTTTCTGGTAATTCCCAACAGAACAACATAGCCTCTTATTATATAGCCCATTGATCAAGTGACCATCAAGGGATAATACAAGGCTTCGGATGTATGCCAAAAATCTCCCAGATACACATCAATGTGCATACCTTGTTAGGTGGGAAATGGCGCAAAGGATCTTCAGAAAATCCATTTGATAAATCACAATCTTCATTGTCCTCCTGAAGTTCTGGATCAGATGTCAGGATACCCACAAACTCAAAAATGTCATTCAGTTTCACTTCAGACTCTGAAGAATCATATATCTGACATAATACACAAGAGAATGAGGAAAGAGGTTTGTTAAAATTCCATAAGATAATAACAATGATAAATTGATCTTAAAATAACAATAAAATGTATCCAATACGAAATTAAAAATATTTTTCACCTTCACAAGACAAGGAGGTGAGTTGCTACCAATATCATACCCCAAACTTGTACCAGAACTGGCAATATCAGTTGCAGCTTCCTGGGAATGAGAAGCAATGGAAGAGTGTTCACCTTCTCTCTGTAAAACAAGACCAATTCTTAGAAGAATCATAATAAGAAATATGCAAGGAGAAGTAGAAATTAGATCATCTAGTAAACACACATTACGTGGTAAATTGACAAATTACAACTGGACCTATCTATTTGTACAACTTACAAATTGCTCACGACCACATTTTGTCATCTAAATATCTAAATATGATACTGGTTAATTGTATGAAGGTTTGTATGGCTTTACTCAAATTTGGATGACAAATATCTTGGTTTGATTTAATTGAAAATGAGCATAAACTTAAAAGTAAACCACAGTGAAAAAACACAAATCAGCAAATTTTTTAAGCAAACAACTTCAAAGGAAATACGAATAAAGCCAACTCTAGAATGATGAGTAAAATTCATTAACAAAAAAAAAAAAAAAAAAAAAAACAGGACACCAATTAACAAAGTTTATAACAGACTACTTTGAACAAAATATTAATAAAGCCAACAATTGGATGATGAGTACAAATTCATTAACAAAAAAAGCCAGGGTCGTATGAAAGCTCAGTGTACCATTCTTTTGGCATTTGGAGAATCCTGAACCTCGTCACAAGAAACCTGCAAAAAACATAGATCAGTTAGAAAAATGAAAAACACGCATTGCCCCGTATCAAGCATTTCCAAAATTTATAAAATAGAACCAATATATTCCAAAGTATAACATTTATCTTGAAGCATAAATTAAATAACCAGCACTACATTCAAAATCAAATACCAGTCGCACCTAAACGGCCAAACTATATACAAGTAGGGCACTAAATGTTTGAGGGTCCACACACTCTTAGCATGATAATTTAATGGAAGCAATAAACAAACAAAGGCAGTAACACAAAGCCAGAATTTACATGCATATCAGAAGACTCGCCATCTTCTCTCCTCCGCTTTTCTCTACTGTCCAACATCCAATCCAAAGATAGATTGCCAAAATCTTCAGCTGAAACTTCAGTCCATGGACTCAGTCCCGGAACCTAAGCATAGATAAACAAAATTAATCCTTCAAAATTCTACTGTTTAAGCAACACATCAACCATTTATATAACAGAAAAAATGAATATGGGAAAATTGAACGCTTGTGAGGAAACAAACAGAGAAAGACACAAATCCGAACACTTTACCGGGACACAATAGAGCAGTCTACGCTCCCAGATTCGCGTATCCGCTGAAGAACGAATAGGATATTGGGAAACATCCATATACTTGTTCGTCCTCCACACCGAACCATCCTTCAATAATCATCCACCGAAAACGAAAAAAAAAAGCATGAATAAAAAACGACAAAAAGAAGGAGAATAAAACCTTAAGATTGTAAATAATCGACATTAACACACAATAAAAAGAAAACCTTATAAGCGCCAACATAAAATTCATTCCCGGGCATGTCTTGTACCATTCCACGAAACCGAACGAGAGTATTGGGCTTGATAGATCTGATGGTGGTAGGGGTGAGAAGAGGAACCTGTTCAGTTAATTGATCGAAAAATTGAGAATAAATAAAATTGCATAACTAAAGAATAGGTTTTCGTTGTTGCTGTATTTAAGGATAGGAGTGTCGGGATGAAGATTGAACCTGAGAGATTCTGGACTGGTCGAAGAGGAAGTGGTGGAAGAGGGGAAGGGCGCCCCAGTCGCGACCTTCGAAGGAGGAAGGATCGGAACCGGAAGCTATGGCGGTGTCGAAGGTGGATCTGACGGCACCCAGAGGGTTCCCCAGAAAATCGTACTGTGGGCCCACCATGACTGAGTCGTGGTCGATTTCTCACTCGCTAGCTAACACTTTGCGATGAAGGAATGAGTTAGATTCGGAATGCAGAGCGGATTTCCAGCCGAGGTACCATTTTATATCATCATTTCCCGCCAAATCTTGTTGTGCCGTTCCTTCCCGCCAGTTTACTTTTTTATTTATTCTTCAACATGAAAAATCTTCACTCTTCTTTTTTATTGGTAAGTAATAAATTTATCCGGTTGTAATTATCAATGAGTTTGGTAATTATCCTATCACGTTACTAACTCAGCCTCCAACTATAACTCCTTTAAAAAACTATATTTGTAATTAATGGAATTGTTGTAATGATATGCTACATTTAAATATTTTTTCCAAAATAATAATAAAAAATATTTAAATCACTCACTCCAATCTTATTTATTCAAAATAGAGTCGTTTACGAAAGTCACAAATTCAATCTTCGAGAAATAAAATGTCAAACGGGGAGTAATCAATCTAGTACCGACAAAACAAACAAAATTTAGTTATTAAGATATCGAATTTCAAAGTACAATTGTATTTTAGATTAAAGGTGCGTAATTGAAAGGTTAATTTGATATTTAATTAAATTTATAAATATATATCTTATTATTATCATGTTTGTTAATTTATTTGTTAGTCGGTTGCCCTTTTTATAATTTTTAGTTTGAATTAGTAAAATGGTTTAATGGACCGATTTATCAATCCGTAATAATATCAGAGAGTAGATTGGTATTTTTAATCTTCCAGCCTACTTTAACAGTCCACCGACCTGTTAGGTCAGTTCGTAGCCTGAATAATTAATAAAATAATTATTTTTTTATTATAATATAGTTAATCATAAAGACAATATATAAAGTTATAAATTAACATAAGTTTTTTCTCATCTTTTTCTTATTACTTATCATCTTCTTCTTGTTTATCCTAAGTACTAATCATTCTTATCATTATGACTTGAATTAAAAGTGTAAGAATTGGGAAAAATAATGTGCAGTTTTATCAAATAAAAAATATAAGTATTTGAATTTTTTGATATAAAAAATATAAATTTTACAAAATTTGACGTTAATTATATATATTTATTATTATCTATTATTATATAATCTTTATTATTATTTTAAATTATAATTTCTTAAAACAATGTATTTATTTATATTATTAATTATAGGTTGAATTATTGACAAATAAATAATAATTTTATTATTAAATTTATTAAAAATATTGATTTAGGAAAAAATAAATTTTTTTTTTTAAATTATGACGAGTAAGCCAAGGTCTATAGTCCATCATGACTATAGTGGGGAGTCTGCCCCGCCCCATTCCTAATTTAAACAAATAATTCAATTTTTCCCAGTTTTATTTATCTTACATGCTTGAGTGTAGAACTTGAGTTTTTTTTTTCAATAGTTGATCATTTGAGCTCCATTAGTAATAAATTATAACTTGAGAAAAATAGATGTTATTTTGGTTTGTGGAAAAGGTAAAAACAGGTTGATTTATAAGCATTATTATTTCATCAGTCGATCTTGCATATTTAACATGTAATTTAATGATAATGTTTTGTTTAAGTTGACCTTGTATATTTAAAATACAATTCCCATGTTTGACGTATTTTCTGTTTTTGAGCTCTTGTCTGTCACAATTTTGTCTTTTAAAAACGTTTTTGTGAGTTAAAAGAGGAGGGTATATATAAATTATCTTTGTCCTTAACTCTTAATCAATGTGAGACTCATGAGTGTACCGAAATATAAGTCTTTAGTTGAGGACTAAAGGGTATATACGAGTGAAGTGAGACTTTACTCTTGACCCCACAGTAACGTCAATGTTCCTTTAAGGAACAAAAGTGACCTGGCATCATGTTCGCTATAATAACATAGGTGTCAATGTTATGCTTAAGGAACGAGAGTGTCCCATCGTCATGTCCACTATGATAATATCGTTATAATTAATTCTCATGTCTGAGATATTGTCTGTTTTAGAGCTTTTGTCCGTCACAATTTTGTCCTTAAAAGACGTCTCGATGGGTTAAAGAAGGAGAGTGTATATAAATTACCTTTGACATTGACTCCCAAACGACATGGGACTTTATGAACGTACCAGAACATAAGTCCCCAATTGATGTCAAGTGTAATTTATGTACACCCTCCTTTCTTAACCCACCGAAACGTCTTTTAAGGACAAAACCGTGATAGACGAGAGTTCTAAAGTGGACAATATCTCAGACGTGGGAATTAATCCTAACGATATTATCATAACAAATATGAGCCCGAGATATACTTATTCCTAGACGAAATAGATAATATTAGACGAAATAAATAATATCAAAATGAATTGTGATTTCTAAGTAATCCATAATAGATAGATCAATATCATAAAATATTTAAATAATATCATATATAATTAAATCATCACATATTAGTTTTTATTGACGGTAATACAACTTGTTTATTAATGTGTGTATGTGAATCCCTTAAAAAATGTATATTCTTTCTTTTAAAGTGATGATTGTGCAATTGTATAAAATTTGAAAAAAAATAGGAAATGTACATTGAAAATATATATCTCTTTCTGATTTGTGATTTGATCGATCACAAACACTAATACAAGATAAAAGTTATCGAATTTTCAATATTTGTGATGTCAAGTTTCTCCATTTTAAGAGTAAAAAAAAAAGAAACAAAGGTTGGGAAAACAAGTTGATAGGCAAGATAAGTGAGCGAATATTCGATTTATAAATGTTATGTATTATTGTATTGGATAGACTAAAATGTCTCGTAATAAAATAGTCAACTTTGTAATTTGAGCGGAACCTTAAACAATGTAATGATGAGTTTTGACGATAACCAATATGTATTAAATGATAATAATTAATGTTTGGAGATTCAATTATAGTAGTTACTTTTTATTGACACATTCAACAATATATGGTACAAAATAATTTTATCTTGAATAATATACCATCTATCTCAAGACTGACCTTTAATAATGTAAATTAAGTATTAATTGTTGATATTTTTAGGAGACATATTGCACTAACATACCTTAGTGCCTGATATAAAAAAGTCTTTGTCATGAACAATATATTGTTTACTTTACCTGAATTATGACAATAAAAATAAGAACAATAAAAATAAGAAGTTTTAGTGAACTATAAATGAGACCTTGAAAAGTTCAAGGAGAAAATTTTATTTATTAATATGCTAAAGATTATTCATGGGTGTGTCCTGTTAACTAATATGTTAAAATTTGTTTATATTTACGTTTTCCTTAATTGTTCACATTAAGTTAAATTATTATTTTTGGTGACTACAGCTGATTAATTGTTAATATTAAATAATTAAGTATAAATATTTAATGCAATTGTTGATATTTTTCTTATTTTTTAATTAAGTTATATTATTGAAAATAAGATTTAATGACAATTTATTTACAAATGATTTATCTTCAATTTATTAAACAAATTTTATGAGTTAAATACATATTTGTTACAAAAATTTTAAACTAATTTTCGATCAGACTTATTACCTATTATATCCTAAATTTTTTATTGATTGTTGGTCTTTAAGTGATTTTTTAGTAATTATATTATTCACACATAACTATTACAAGCAAATATGTATATCATAGTTTTATCAACTATATAAATATTATATATATCTTAACATAAGTTGGTGAGATTTATATCGAATTATTAAAAAACTAAAAAATAAAGATTATTAATTATTTTATACAGGTCAATTTTAAATCTAAATCTATAAATGAAAATAATTTCAAAAAATCATCTCAAAGTCAAGTTGCATACAAAAAAAATAACATAAAAAAAAATAGTTTCGTCCAAAAATTTGTTCATACCACCACTAGTCACACTAAAAAAACCATGTCTTAATATTTACAGTCTACAAAATTAAAATATTCTATATATTACATATGTTCAAAATATTTTAATAAATAATTTTCCAACTATATATTATCACTTTAGTATTTTAATATTCTTGTTATATATGTTGTATGATATGATAATATTATTTTTAACTGAAATAATAAATTAACTATAAATTATCTTTATTTGATTTTTTATTTGTAACATTTTTAAGCATAAGTAATAAAATAATTTTAGAAATTTGTAATATATATATATATATATATATATAATATATTAAAATATATACAAATTAGAATATCTAAATATCTAAATATTTAAAATATGTTAATATATAAATATATAATATGTAAATATTTAATTATAAAAATATATAATTACTTTGATATATATATATATATATATATATATATATATATATATATATAATATCTCAGGAACATAAAAAAATCAAAAGCAAAGTTTAGAAATCGACTACTATAAGAACTAAATTTTGACTCCTTTTTCCACATAACGGTGATGACGTCTTAGGAATGAAATTTTGACATTATAAAGGAAATAAGTCTAATTGGTAAATAAAATTTGATGAATCCATTTCAATAATTAAATATTTTTTAATATTATTTTTGAGAAAAAATACATTTAAATTAATGTTTATTAGGTTTTATTTTCGTACTTTGTAACAAATGTCTTCGTAACCTTGCAACATCTCTGTCTAAGTGCGGAGTAACTTTGCAACCCAAGAAATAAATTTTTGAAGAAATTAGCATTATTCTGAGTTTGGATCCGGCGAGCTTGAATTGTCAATGTTTTTACACCGTACAGGTGAATAAATGATTTAGAGTTTAAAGGTTTGAATTCGAAATTCAATTAAATTTAATAATTTTTTTAATATAATAAGTTGACAATATTTTTTTATGAAAAAAAGAAAAATAATAAGAATTATTATTATAATCATCATAAATCATAATAAAAATTATAAATATAGAATATATTAAAAAGTATAAAATAAATAATATTTAAAATAAGATAAAAATATAATAAAATAACTATTATTTAAAATTATATAACTAATATTAGATAAAAAAATTAAAATATCTAATTATATAACTAT